TTGTGTTTAGCCCATCGTGGGCGAGTGGGAGATGAAAGAAATAATGGGTGGACCGCCCAAGATGGGCCAAACCCGGCCCGCGAGCCACAAGGGCCCACAAGGTAGTTATTTGCCTATCACTATAATAGAAGGCACCCCTTAGAAAAAAAAAAACGTGATTTTTCCATATGCAAACACACTCCTTCGAACATAACGCTTTCTCTGCTTTTGCTTCGGAACGCAAACGAGTACGAAAGACGATAGAAAAACTCTCAAGCGCAAAGTGGCACTTAATCTGTGACAATACCGGGTATGTTCGTTATGTGATATGCCTGTACGATCGGTGATACAAGTTGATGGTCCTCGGGCACGTTTTCCGCATTGATCGAATTCGTTCTGAATATGTTTCGAATGTGTCGATCGGGGATTAAGTTTTTCCCAACACTCCTGAATTTGATACATTAGAACAAAGTAGGTAAAAGGTCAACCATGAAGGTGTATTATACGCTCTTTATTTCTATAATAATTTGCGTATCGGTTCAAATATTTTACTTTTACTAAGTCAACTATACAACTGCTTAGCTAACAATATATATGTCGGAGAATAAATCACTATGTACTTTGGTTATGGAATAATAGCTATAACCTTGAGTTCTTAAATAAGACTAATGGCATTCATTTCTATATCAAACGCAGTGTTTAAAACTCCAATTTTGTTTCTTAATTTTCATTATAATGTGCTAAATAAGTCCCAATTGATGTTGTAATCAACCCAATTTGCCGACTTGACTATTAACACGTACTCTTCCAACAACTTTTCGTCATTTGGATCAAATGAAATTAGTATATGCCATGTGAACTGTGAAGTTAATTAATCTAATTATAGACAATATGAAAACGATATGGGTGTTGACTGTAGTATCTAATTCATCCACAATTTTAAAAATAAAACCCATTGACCATTTAGACAATACCTTATCTTCTCCAACCTTGGCCGCTTTCTTGTGTCAGAAAAATTATTTCCAAATCACCGACCTTATAATACAAATCCTGTTTCCACATTTGAATGAATCCGATAGGAAAAATTATCCAAAAAAGTCCTAAACTTAATGTACGGAAACTAATTCAGTCATAAACATTTCAATCGTACCAAATTGTCAATTTAGTTCTAAACCTTTTGACGATATGTCAATTTAGTCATAAATATTTTTTCGTGTCAATTTAGTCATAAACCTTTTGAAGATTCGCCAATTTAGTCCTAAACCTATTATTTAAATATTTTGCCGGAAGAGCTATATTAGTAAATCGTCAAAAGGTTTAGGACTAAATTGGCAAATCATTAATATATAGGTTTAAGACTAAATCGGCACAATTGAAATGTTTATGATTAAAGTGGCGAATCTTCAAAAGGTTTAGGACTAAATGACACAATTGAAAGGGGTTTAGAACTGAATTGGCCTCTGTACAATTGGTTTATGACTTTTTGGACAATTTTCTCTGAATCCAATAATATAGATATTTAGGCTCCGTTTGTTTCGCGAAAATAAATAATTTCAAAAAATATTTTCTATAAAAATAATCATTTTTTATCTCTTGAAATAATTATTTAAATGAAAAAAAATTCAATATCAACGACAATTCAACCACGTATGAAATTCATGACCAGCCACTGACGTACCCCAAATCTGCTTTGCAGACCAGCTCTCAACATGCTTTCAATTACACAATCGATCCTCATGTCGTATGGGCATTGGTTGGTGTTGGCCTGCTCTATATAGTATCGCCTAAATGGGATAAATAATGGACTTTAATTGCAAAAACCAAACATTAGTATTGGATCTAAATCGATCTAAGTCAAATATGCCGAGCAGACAGATTGGGAAAATGAACAAGAGCGTGTTCTCTGGTTCTACCCTCAACCTCAAAGTGATCAAACTTCCTCATTACAAAATTTGTAAAGATGGATCGAGTGACTGTGTGAGTAATGAAGACGTGCCAGCTCTTGAGAGCAAGAGCTCGAAAGACATTTACCACTTTGATCTCGATGACAAAGAAGTGAATTGCAAGCAAATTACGGTGTAAAGACCAGCTTTTAAAAGAACTTGAAAGCAAAAGTACTGAAAATTGTCATAACAAGAAAATGAAAATATTTTCCGGGATTTGGCTGACATCTGAAAATGAACTAGAAAATATTTTCCGTTGTTTGGTAAGAAAAATATCATTTAATTTTCCTAAATAAACATGCACTATTTAGGCTCTAGTGATTTGCGCATGGACAACCAAGAAATCCGGCACAGGCACCGAGGTCTCAAGCCTAGATGCTTGACTCCTAGGCATGAGCATGGGCACTGGTCTTAGGTCCACCGAAACTGTGCTGAGAACTCGATGCCCGTGCGCGGCTTCCTGGTGCCCCAGCCTGAGTCTACAAAGATCGGGCCCAGGTCCCCGGCGCCCAGGCTTTGGTCAATCGAGGCCAAGCCCGAGACTCCGGTAGTGGTATGCATGCCCCTGTCCATCGAGGCCGAGACCCTGAACTTTGCGCCTGGGACTCGGTCCCCCTTTGCCTAGACCTAGGTCCATCAAAGTGGGGCCCGAAACCTTGTTACCCATGCCCGAGTCCATCGAGGCAAGGCCTTGGTCCCCAGCGTCGGGGCCCGGCATCGATGGATCAGGGCGCAGGCACAGGGGACTCGGGCAAGGACGCGAGAGTCCTAGGCCCGGCCTCGATGGTCCTAGGCTCAAAAGTCGGGGACCCAGGCATGGTTGTCGGGTCCGGGGATGGGCCTCGATGGACCCGAGAGAGCCGGACAAGGTCTCAAGCGCGGCCTAGATGGACTCGGGTTGGGGTGTTGGGGTCCTAGGCTAGGCCTCGATGGACCCGGGCTTGATCGCCGAGGACTTGATCCCGCTACCAAGGGCCCGGAAATGGGCATTGGAGTTCCCGTGCCCAAGCGAAAAGTTTTTGGTCTAAGCACCGATACCTAGTCATATTTTGGAAAAATGATTTTCGATTTTTTAAAGAGGAAATCATTTTCTTTAATATAATCTTTGAAAGGAAAATCTTTTCCGTTGACTCATTTATAAGTGATTCAAATGTCGAAAAACTCGAAAAATGTTTTCCGCGAAATAAACGGAGCCTAAGATTAAAACTGAAATGGAAAGACATTGTTTGGAAAGGGAAATGCTTCAGGAGGAAAATTTGACAGAATTCTAGCATAGCTCCAGCATGTCTTCTTCCTCCCTGTCCTATCTATCTTTATTCCTGTGATCTCCTTCAATGGTTATTGGAATTCACCCGCAATCTTTTCATTAGCTGCTCCATGCTTCCATGGTTTTCTACCATGTCCACGATCTCAGTCTCTTCTCTGTGGTAGTCCTGCGTCCTGCAACAACCGTCGCTTCATCCACGAACCGATTTAATTCTGCAACGGTTTCCGCTCTTAATTCAAACAGATCGAGGTATTCTTTCCTTACTCCGCTCGATGTAGTCACCAATACATCTCTGGTTGAAGTCGGATTACACATACCCGCAGCTCAAAGTTAGACTGGTTAAGCTCCAGACCGAAGTGAAGTTAACGCAACTTGACTTTCTATACCTGGCTGTACACCTCTAAGCTTATTCTAACCACCAACCTTGCAAAATCAATTTCCATGAAGGAGGGTTACATGTATATACTACATTACTACTGTACTGTTTCCTTTCGGAGCTTGGCTGTGGGAAATGGGGGTGCAACCTAGACTGAATCAAATGGGTTGTACGATTGCGACCACGATTGAATGGCGACAAGTTTTTCTTTCTTTGGGCTGGTTCCCACCAATCCGTGACCTTTACCAGCAATTCAAAACTCACTGGCACAATGGTAAAAGTAATTAATGTACAAAATCACCAACCCCTCTTGAAAAGCTATTATGACCCATAAAAACTTATTAGACTCAGCGGTTGAGTCGCGAATTTCACAAGTCTTCTACTTTTCTACGAGGTTTTGACTCACGTTTTGTTAAAGCATCCCACATCCTTTGTCTAGGAGAGTTGTATATTATTTATATATGTGTAGTCTCCTTCCATCTATTAATCTAAATTTTTTAATAGGGTTTTCTAGCATGATATCAAAGTTACTCCATTTATCTTGTGATCTCCGTTTTCCTAAAGGTAGGTCGGGTCAAATCCACGTTAGGCCCACACTATTCAAGGGCATGCATTACAATTTATTTTTTTTTATCTGGTGGAATTTTGGATGCATCCTCTATCTATGAGAGGAGTTGTACCGATCGCGTTTATTAGTCTTCGCTGTTGGTAGATGGGTGTGTCGTGGAGTGGATCGAGATGACACCCGAACCACTTCATCTTGTGTTTTGGCCTTTTCTTTTTGTTCCTTGACTTGTACTCTCCTATATCACAATAAATGAGTCAGTCGATGGTGCGTGGAATTTCGTGTGAAGTAAAAACATATACTTCAATTGTTTCATCAGCTTTTTCGTGCAAATAAAGAAGTTGCCCCAATAGCATTAATGACATAGAAGTAAAAAAAAAATTCAATGCCAACCCCTTTTTTAACATCTCCGCTGAAATTAATAAAAAAAAATAGAGGGTACAATATCATGGTGCTTATAATTACCAATTAATAATAAAAAAAAAGAGTAGGCTTGAGCCGAGTGATGATACAGATCCCACATCAAGAACATATGCAAAAGTATGTATATCTCATCAAGACTAATGTCCAAAATCACGAAGAGCGCCCAAATGCAAGTGAATTACTCAAATCTATTTTATGTAAAAAAAGAGACAACAAAAAGAAGAAAATACACACACACTTTATTAGTAGACTAATTTTCTCTATCTCACAATATTTCATGGGTGAACCTTCCCATGCGAGAGACTAGAATGTAGAACTCCTATCTATATGTGTGTGTGACCTTTGTGGGAAATTTTTAACCTGGGACAGAAGAAGATGTGACGTGTAGCTACCAAGATAGACATTAATTGGAAGGACCCATCTCACTCTCTTAAATTCACCTCCACTCTTCACAGTCTCATCCTACATCTAGAAATCTCACCTATTTCATACTGAAATTTATCTCAATTTCGTTCTCATCTTTCAATTACATCCCTGAGGGGAGAAAAAAGAAACTGAGAACAATCATGAGTGCTCCGGTTACATTCACTGATGAATTCAGCAGCCCCGTCCCGGCGCCAAGGATGTTCAAGGCTTTGATCCTCGATGGCGATAATCTCATCCCCAAGCTCCTGCCTCAGGCCATCAAGAGCGTCGAGCTCGTCCATGGCGACGGAGGCCCTGGGAGCATCAAGCAGATGAACTTCGCCGAAGGTTAGGTGACTTTGGTGATTTAATTACTCGCATGCTATATTTCAGCACGATCTCTTCTTTAGTAATTAGAAGATTGTTATGCAAGTAAAGGGGGAAAAAACATCGCGTACGAGATAAGTCAATTGAGGTCTGATACATTTTATTTTATCTGGTAGAAATTGACTATCCCTAACACAAGGATATAGCATCATTATTTACCAGCAAGATGATGAAGATCAATCATCTTCGTACCTATCCTTAACGGAGTAGAGAAATTCTCGATTATACACCTAATAATAATGACAATAGTGACCCTTTAAGTACAGGCAGTCACATGAAGTACGTAAAGCACAGAGTCGATGCACTGGACAAGGAGAAGATGACGTACAGCTACTCAATGGTGGAGGGAGGCGAATATGCAGACAAGATCGAGTCGATCTCTTATGAAATCAAGATGGAGGCATCTCCTGCTGGGGGCTGTAAGGGCACGAACGTGAGCAAGTACCACCCAAAACCAGGGGTTGTGATCAACGAGGAGGAGATCAAAGCCGGGAAAGAGAAGGCCATGGCCGTCTTCAAGGCCGTGGAGGCTTATCTCGTGGCCAACCCCGAGGCCTATGCCTAAAAAGCTTTTGTCTTATATTATCGTCTCTGTTTGAAGCAAGTTTTGCATCTCTCTCTGTGGATCCCATAAGTTATGCTAATTATAATGGGGTCCTCTATATGTGAGAACCCCTTGATTGAGAGTGCTAATGGTGTTGCTCGTACAATAAAGTTTCTCCAATTCTACTACATATTATAGTACTTTGGCTTGTTAAAAAGTGTCTCGGAGCACGTTAAGGTACAATGATGTTGCGGTGATGCATATATCAAATGTATTTTGAAAATTAATGAGCGAGATTGTTTTCACGCGTTTGAAGAAATTTGGGTGTACCTCTTACAAGGTAGCAATTTTCGTTCAGCTTGTTCCTTCCATTGATTGCATTCAATGCTTCAATACATTAAATCTTAGAGGATTCCATCTTTTTAAAACTGAAGTATAATATATATTATATATTGTTTTAATTCAAAAGAAAGGTAGATTTGGATCTGGCCTTTCTTTGCACTGTAATTCTAACCCAAATAGCTGTATCATTAGATGAGACGTTAAGATGTTTATAGCATTTCTATAGAAGCATGTAATGAGCATATGTGATTGAGTATATAAGCTCTATCATTAATGATCATGGTCATCATGCCTGCTTATTTCCAAGAAACTTTACCGAGTCATATTTAAGAAGTGGGTCTCATGTCGTAAATATAATGGCCCAGAAACCCTAGACTCTTGACAATTCCATGCAAAAAAAAAATCAATGGTCATGTTTCTACTTTGCCAAATCTACAACAATATTAGCTCGTGTAGATCTGAATCTGATCGATGCCATTCATCTTTTCTTTTCTTTTCTTTTCTTTTCTTTCTTCCCGGTTATAGCAATATATGAACATATGAAGCCAACTGTTCATCATTAAATAGGACCCAGCCTTTAGTGGGAAATCAATGTAGCACGAAATATCCTCTTGATCAAGAAATGACAAAGCTTTGACGACGACACGCACGCAAACACTTCGATCATTTGTGGTTGGATATATTGAATTACCCAATATAACTAATCACAGCACCATGAAAAGGCATAAGAGAATATCCATGAGAAAACAGGACAAAGTGGCCAGTTAATTGGAACTTGAGTAGAGACCTCTTAGTTCTCATCCAATTCGTCGTTAAATTAAATAATTGAAAAGGTTTACAATATCCCTTTTTTTTATTCAGCCTCAGGAACTGGCTGATCCATCTTAGCAAGCTAATTTGTCGATGTAAGTGAGGTTGATGAGTGCATTCTCTTTGTTTGTCAAGCCCTTCCATTCGATAATTAAGGTGCATCGGCGAGCTTAACATTTAGTATGCGGGAGACGTAGTTGCCCCATGGTGGGACGAGGAAATAATTAGTTAAGAATCCTCTCGGATCAAGTGGACTTCTCGAAACATTTGTGCATTAGAAGACGATGAGATGCACGCGAATCGAATGCCGGCAAGTTTTTCCATTCACTGGACCGCACTCTAACTACCTTGTATTATCCATAGCCCCGCTTTGAGAACGACGCCCTATCCCAATCAACTCATGAATTTTTTAATTTCCCTCCGAATCACGACAAGGAAAGACATCTTTCGTGCTCTAGAGCCAATAGAACATAGCCCGATTCAACGAGGGCTCCTCGCTGACCAAAAAAAAAAAAAACGAGGGCTCCTCCTCTTAGACCTATAAATGATGCCCTCCCTTGGCGCTCTCTTCACACCAAGCTCAACCAAGTCGATTTCATCGTTTGCATAATTTCACTAGCTGGTCCCTAGAGATCAATCATGGGTGTGTTCACATTTAATGATGAGTACAGTTCCCCCATTCCTGCGGCGAGATTGTTTAAGGCCTTGATTGTGGACTCCCATAACCTCATCCCCAAGCTCATGCCTCAAGCTATCAAGAGCATCGAAATCGTCCAAGGCGACGGAGGAGCTGGAAGCATTAGGCAAATCAATTTCACTGAAGGTAAATTTTTCTCAAGGGCTTTTCTTGCATAATGAAATTGCAAATTTTCGTAAGAAAAAACATAGCGATAAGAAAAAGAAAAACATAGCTATTATTAAGATGTTATACTGTTTGATCGGGTGACATTTCTGAAGATGTTATTTGTCTTCTGTGATTAGTTCAAATCTAAGTAGTACGTATGTCCCATTTCATACGCAGGTAGCCAACTCAGCCACATGAAGAACCGAGTAGACGAGCTGAACGAAGAGACATTCACATATAAGTACACATTGATCGAAGGCGGTCCATTGATGGAAAAGTTCGAATCTATTGCTTACGAAGTTAAGTTCGAGCCAACACCGGACGGCGGGAGCAAGAACAAGATGACCAGCACGTACTACACCAAGGGCGATTTTGAGCTCAAAGAAGAAGACATCAAAGCCGGCAAAGAGAGAGCCTTAGGAATGTACAAAGTCGTCGAAGCATACCTCTTCCAAAACCCTGATGCTTATGCTTGATTCCGGAAGTTCTTCTCTCAAATAAATTTGGAAGTACTCGTGGTACTTTGTGTCTTCCATAGTAAGTGTTTGGCTTGTTTTTTGGTGATGGACATGATCGTCCTCTTGAGTGTGGATGGCAATAAGGATACATACTTTGTACCTCGTTCAAAATGGTGGATCATTATCCTATGAAAGCATTCAAGCATTTCCCTGAATACCACTTCACTTTCCCACTAATTTCGTAAGAAATCTCATTTAGATTTTCTCGCGACATGCTTGTTTTGCTATTTGCTTTTAAAAAGTTTTGCCAAATGGTGTTATGTCTCTAATCAAAGTAAACAATAAGATAGTTGTTCATTTTGATAATAGACATGTGTCTTCCTAACAAGGCGTCTGACAATATTGAAGGAAAAGCTAAACTTGATCGAGATACTAAACAAGCCGAAATCAAACAATAAACTTTAAGTCTCATAAACCGGTTAAGTTCCAACTCAAAACTACGTAGGTAGCCATAGCCAGAGTACATGGTTTGCCCACATTTTATGGGATTTAAACAATAACCTCTAATTCCTAAACTGAAAATTCTCCAACGTCTAGACCAATTGTACCAAACTCTGAGGTTGACCAGCCCTTTTTTTTTATCAACATTTCTGCAATTCCAACATTTCTTGAGTTTTATCAATATGGAAAAAAAAAAATTCACCATAGATGTGCGAGACCCTATTTTCCCCTATGTGATATATTAAGGACCTTGTATATTGCTATGAGATTATATTTAACAGAAATGAGCAAAGCACGAAAATCTTCCTTACCATGCCTATAAGAAGGTGGCACTCTTAGATCTTATGAGTATAGTTATAATTGTGACACAAATAAATTCATTTGTTTGATCTATACTTTTATTCTTAGTCTTATGTACTATAAGGAGAAAATAGGGTTTTTGCGCGCGAATGTTTACAGGGAGATGAAGAATTCTCACTTCGTTTGGCTATTTATGCTTGGATTCATTCATTTCGCATAATGTTTCATAAATCGGATAATACGACACGCAAAATATGGCCAACCAATATGATTACCGATATGTCTAAACATGTGCAATCCAATTAACCCTGAAATTCGAAAAATAGAATTAATGGTGATTATCTTTTTCGTCTTAGATTTAAAAATAATCAACCAATTCTAATGTTTGTTTCTCTGATGATCATTATATCAGTCTTTTACTAAGTCTTCTTGTACATACTGAACTAAAAGAGAAAATAAGAGAATATGATGTAGATTTATACGAGAACTAGCAAATGTGCACTCGGTTGCATGTATGCGAGATATTGACATTTGAAAAATAAAGTAAAATAGTTTTATTACAAAATATTTGAACCATTAATGAAAAGATACTACTAATGAAAATACTCAATACAAAGGACCGTATAAATATATGTGATATAAAAGATTTATTGGAAACTTTTTTGGTAAATTGTTGTAGGATAGAAATGATTTAAATTCTAATATTGAAACATGTGATACATAAAACAGAGAATTTAATTTACACATTTATCCATGGATCCAATATTTATAAAATAAATAATTGAGGAAATTTGAAGACTGAAAAAAAAATGATTGACATCCCTCATATGTAGGATGTTCTTTTTATTATATACTAGCTCTCTAGCACTCGACACACACGTGTGGTTGCCTTCATGCACTTTTGAATTAGTGAATAAGTGGTTTGTATTTCTTTAACGGCTTTGATTTTTTTTTGTTTACAAGTGATAAGAGTTTGATTTACAATAATGGATTCTATCGAAATAATAGATAGGAAAATCAAGGATATATTTGTAAACAAGAGGTTGGATATCAAATTCAAAAATTGACTCTATGTATAGTATTAATAGATAGATAATAGCACAGATACGATGGACCAATGTGTGGTGGTCCCAATCATGTCAACCTTGAGATGAATTTTCATTCATATTACAATTTTTTTAACCATAGAGATCTATTATATTTCTATTGCGCCTTCGTATTATCTAAACAGATGATGACCGTGAACATTGAACATGCTCTTTTTTGGATTTTAAGAGCCTCTCTCTCTCTCTCTCTCTCTCTCTCTCTCTCTCTCTCTCTCTCTCTCTGGAGAACGACGCCTCGAGTCCAATCAACTCTTGAGTTTTCATGCTTAATGCTGACAAAAGGCAATGTATGGAACTTTAGGACTATGACAATTTGAAGAATTTTACATAGCCAACGAAACACTCTTTGGAAAAGTGAGGACTCCTCTACTTGCACCTATAAATACATCTCCTCCATATCACTTCTACACCAAGCTCAGAAATCTTCCTTAAACTCCAGCCACCTTCATCATAGTTTCATAATTTTCTCTAGCTAGCAACAAAGTTATTCATGGGTGTCTTCACTTTCACAGATGTATACACATCCACGATTCCTCCAAAAAAGATTGTTCAAGGCTGTGACATCCTGAAATTTGCCCATTTGGGATTTATGAAATGAGTGGTTTTATGAACATACTTGTAGCTAGGTCTCGCTCGGAATTGGCAATTCCTGGGATATTAACCATTAGGAAAGGGCTAATTAGGAATTTAAATTCGTGCGACTAAAGAAATTCGGTCGTGAACTGACTTTCGACCATAGAATCATCGAGGTGACATTTTGAGCCAATGTAAGCCGATCTTAGGATAGTTATGGGCCGGTTCGTCATTGTCAAACGAGTGGATCATGGGTGATTCCGTTTGACCACGGGGTGAGTTGACGAACGATCCAGAACCTATACCGAACGATCGCGCCCGTCGGAACTAGCGATCGATTCTCGCGATTACATTGACAACCGAGGTCGTCACGATCCGAACGAACTTGCACGTGACTTGATTTAGTATCAGTCACGGGTCGAATATGCGAATTTTCCCAAAAGCCGCCCGTTAGTTCGAGACACGCTCAAGTTACGTTATTTAAAATTCAGTTATTAAATTAGAGATCAATTTGGGCATGGAAAATTTAGGAAGTCACGACAGGACATTTGGACGACGTTGTTATTAGCATGTTTAGTCTTGGATTTTCTCGGATCCTTCAGAAAAATGCAATTTTGGCGAGAAATGAGGAAAGTGACCATTTTACCCTTGGCGATTTATAAAGGGCAAGTTTTAAGAGGGAGGGGCATTTTGGTCATTTTGCCCTAACTTTTGGTTGGACAATTTTGCCCTTAGAATTTTATGAAATTCCCAAATTGCCCTTGGATATTTTTGGATAAAATTCGATCTGGGCCGTCGATTTCAAGATAAGATCGAATCTGGGCCGTCGGATGAAAAGTAGAGAGAAGGGCATTTTGGTCATTTGGCAAAATTGGGTCAAAACTTGGGTTTTAAGTCAAGAGGCTCTCTCTCTCTCCTCATTTCCTCTCTCTCTCATCTCACAGCACCTCTCTCTCCCTCACCCACCGAGCCAGCCCCCTCCCTTCGCCGAGCCGCCGCACGCCGGTCATCGCCCGACCGGATCGCCACCGCTCGCCACCGCCGCTTGCCGTCGCCACCGCCGAGCCGCCGCCGCGCCGATTGCCGTCCCGTTCCACTCTAGTCGAGTTAGTCTAGAGTCCGGTAAGTCACAATCTAACCCTTGCCTAGGACATCGGGTATTATTGGACTCGTTTATACGCGGTTTAGGGTAGTTTAGGGGTTGATTGGGGTGTTGAACGTGGTTGTTGGTGGCTGATTATGGCTGTTAATGGCTGTTGCGTGTTAGATTAGACGTCTGGAAATGAGTTTTGGCAGTTGAAATTCGGTAGAAATCAATTGGGGTTCGAATCCTTGAGGTTTGGTGTGATTCTCGGATTCGTGGTGACTGTACACGTCCGGTTTGCTATTTTTGTGGAGAATTTTGCGGGCCGAATATGAGGAAGTTTTCTTCATGAAAGTTTCTCCCAACATCTTGAAGTATAACATATTTGGAATTTGGAATTTTTGGAGGCCATTTGGGTTGCACGAAAACCCATTTTCACACCGTGTTGAAACTGCCCGGAACACTGTTCATCCCGACCTTCTTGTCTTACCGAATTTTTATAAAATTTTTCAGAGCTATTTTCAATAAACTTCCTTCACAAAATTTGTTTCCAACTTTATTTTCTATGACATATAAAAATTTCAAGGCTTTTCAAGGTGATTTGGGTATTGAAAGAAATGTATTTTGAGGACAAAACGGTCTGTTAGAGCGAACTGATTTTGGCCTGACTTCGAGGGACAAAAAGGCATGGTTGCAGATTGAATCGGATTTCGTGTTCTTCATAAGAAATGTTTATCAAGATATTTTTTTATGATATATCAAAATTTAGAATTTTTGGAGTTCGTTTACTATTTATTTTGATGGGATTTCGGTCACTGTACAAACTGCCCAATTTTACCCCGATTCTTTGGATGTTCATTTTTATGAGCGAAATGGTGAGGGTGTCGAGGTTGATTAGGTGCTGCCTCGTGACCGGAATTTACGCTTGAATGTGTGTTATATGAGTTGATTTGAGGATGAAATGAGGATGTTTCGAGGCTGGAGTGAGACTGAATAGAGTGTCGGACGTTGTGGGATGGAATTGGCGAGCTTAGGGCTTGATTTAAGGACAAATGGTGTCGGTTTGGTGTGTGGTAGTATGGCTGGATTGTGGTGTTTAATATGCTTGGAAATGTCGAATTTATGCCTATGAACGTGGCTGTGTTTGTGGGCTCATGAGTGGCCTTGTGTGTTTATTGAACCGTGATTCGATGGATTGAAATGTGCTTTGTTGTGTGCACGCTTGGGCCAGATTGAGTTAATTGTTAAATTGGCCATATAGAATGCTTGGTGAGCATGAATTGTGTGAGAATTGATGCGTGCACGGGCCACGTGTGATGGGCCAATTGTGTGTGGCAAGTGATTGTTGAGCATGTGCATGAGCAAGAGAGTGAATTTGGTGTGGCATGTGCGATCGTGAGAATTGTGTCGTCCTGAGGCGTGTACTTCAACGCGGGACAATGCCCGGTATTATCGGAAGACTGCCAACCTAAGGCGTGTACTTCAACGCGGGTTGTGCCGTAGGTGGTGAGTGTTGAGCCTGAGGCGTGTACTGTAACGCAGGCAAGAGACATGGCCTGAGGCGTGTACTGTAACGCGGGCCGAGGAGTGCTGGAAACATGGCCAACCTGAGGCGTGTACTTCAACGCGGGTTGTGCACTAGGAGAATGGATGTTGAGCCTGAGGCGTGTACGGTAACGCGGGCAAGAGACATGGCCTGAGGCATGTACTGTAACGCGGGCCCTGGTGTGTTGTGATGAGTGGGTCGCAGTGGACCTGAGACGTGTACTGTAACGCAGGTCACTGACGAGAGTTGTGGAAAAAGATGTGATGAAACGGAAACAAATGCATGAAATGTCATTAGAACGTGCATGCGAGTGGAATAGTGCTATTGTAAGACTAACGTGCAGGTTTCGTGTATTGAGAATCCGGTAAGTACGATTGTGTGGACGTTGTTTGTGTGTTGCTTGATTCGGTGTCTGGACTTGTCTGGAATACATGGTAGCCTAGATAAGGTTTAGGTTGTGTACTTATTGAGAAGTGTCCTATGGTTGTTTCAACCAAACCATTTCAGAGCACCGCCCGAGCCATGAATCTTCCGCCGCCGTCGCAGCGTTTTGGGCTGTTATGCACTCTGATCATGATGTTGTAGGATAACCCGATCGAGATTGAGGCCGATTCAGAGTCGTCGGATAAGCATGTGCTTGATGAGGATTCGGATGAGGATTCCGAAGAGAGTGAGTCAGAGTGGATGCCATCTAGAGGGCGTAGAGATTAGTTTGGAGCTGAGGAAGACTTTGGAAATGTCCCATTTTTGGTGTAGTGCTTATCCAGGCTACTAATCTTTTTGTGATATCGGTGGTTTGCAGTTTAGTTGTTCAATGTGCATATTTTGCTTTGTGGTTTGTAAATGGCGATTGTGGCATAAGTTTAAATTGTAAATGGATATTGTACTTGGGCCGAGGTATAGTACGTGATTTGGTGGTTTGGCAATTTATTCTCCCTAGTACCCTTGGTAAATCATTGTCTGGGTGTTTGTTGTTTCCGCCGCGATTAAACTTTTATGGGTTCATTTGGGTCGGTGACGTTCCTGGGACGTCGCACTAATTCGACCAAAGAAGGATGTCGCAAGCTCGATGGGGTTCGGGGCGTGACAAAGGCCCTCATTGTGGACTCCCACAATCTCATTCCTAAGCTCATGCCTCAATCCATCAAGAGTATCAACATCGTCCAAGGCAATGGAGGGGCCGGGAGTATTAAGCAGATCAATTTTATCGAAGGTAATGATTATGAGACTTTGCTATTGCTTCTACCATTATTAAGGCACAATCACCTTTCTATATGACTCCTATGTATTTATGTCATGACAAGTTTTTAGACTTTGACAATGAAGCGATTTCCATAGAAACATCAAGAAAATTCTTTTCCCATTGTAGTAGGCTTCGTTAATCTTGGTTTAAAAATATATTCTAAGCGTTCTTATCTGGGAATTCTTGCATAATTATCAACTCTGTTGTTTTAATAGATGTGTCCAACTAATTCATATAAAAAAAACAATTCTCATCATATGATGTAAAGGAAAAAGTTCCTTTGTGAAATTTCATTTACTAAGTGTACAAGATGTAGTGTTAATCTGTAATGTTTTGAGATGTAGGAAGCCAACTTAGTAGCATGAAGAATCGAGTGGATGAGCTGAACAAAGAGACGTTCACATACAAGTATACTATGATCAATTTGATGGATAAATTCGAATCTATCGCATGCGAAGTCAAGTTCGAGCCAACCCCAGATGGTGCGAGCAAGAACAAGATGACCAACACCTACTACACCAAGGGCAATGTCGAGCTTAAAGAAAAGGACATCAAGGCTGGAAAAGAGAGAGCCTTGGGAATGTATAAGGTTGCGGAAGCATACCTCCTTCAAAACCCTAATGCTTATGCTTGATTCTTACAAATAAAACTCTTAAATAAGTTTGGAGCAACCTTCTCCAATAAGTACTTGAATGGTTAATAAGGATATGTACTTTGCACTTGGTAATTGTTTGTGGGTCAAATCCTGTAATGCTTCCTTCCGTGAGTCACTCACAGGTGTTTCATGTTGGGAATCGAGCACCGATTCCAGAAAAATAACCCAAACAAACGATCCTCACTAGCAGAATATAATAATAAAAGAACATAATCGAAAGAACACACCAGAGAATTTGCTATCGAAGTTCACCCAAACCTGAGCTACATCTCTGCGCAGAGGCACTCTGCGAATCCACTAGACTTCGAAGAAAGTAGGAATACAATTATGATCTTCTCTCATGATCGGAGCACAAAGAGATTGAGAACAATCACAAAGAAAAAACTCACTTTTTTCTTCTCTCTTTTCTTTTCTCTCTATTTTCTTATCAGCGCTTGACAGCTAACTTCTATCAATGGCTGATATATAAAGCGTAGCTTTTAACCTAAAAGCAAAATTAATAAAAAAGATAAAAAAGCCCTTAATAACAATATTTGGCTTCATCCTCCAACAATCTCCCACTTGAAGACAAATACACCCGATGCACCAAGCAACTTTGCATCCATCTACTTCAAAAGCTAGTAACCTGAACTTGTGCTTCTGCGATACTCCTCATCAATTAACATGGAGTAATACCAATGGTAGTAGTACAGAGAATAAGTTTCTCTCTGTCTACTACCTTGGTAAACATATCAGCTGGATTCTTCAAGCCATCAATCTTCAGAATCGTAACTCATTATCTTTCAATGCGACTGATGAAATGATAACGCTTCTTGATATGTCTAGTTCTTGAGTGATAAGTGCATTCTTTGCTAAGTGTACTGCACTTTGACTATCACTCCACAAAGTGTGCTCACGGCTGCTTTCGATGTAGCTCCTCCATGTAATCTTGTAACCACATGATTTCCTTGGAGGCTTCCGTGATCGCCACATACTCTGCTTCTGTCGTCGATAGAGCCACTACTTTCTGTAGTTGAGATACCCAACTCACTGCAGTACCTGCAACTGTAAAGACATATCCAGTGGTACTTTTACCACTATCTCGATCACCCGAATGATCTGCATCCACATAACCCTGCAACTCTAGAGATGTCCCTCCATAACAAAGAGAGTAATTTGATGTACCTGCTAGATATCTCAATATCCATTTTACTGCATTCCAATGCTCTTTGCCCGGGTTCTGCAAATATCGACTCACAACTCCCACTGCCTGTGCAATGTCTGGTCTCGTGCTCACCATGGCATACATTAAACTTCCCACTGCTGATGCATATGGGATTGCCGCCATCTCATCTTTCAAAGCCTGAGTACTCGGACACATATCCTTAGAAAGTTTGAAGTGACTCGCTAGAGGAGTGGCAACTGGTTTTGCCTTATCCATGTTAAATCTCTTTAACACCTTCTTCACATAGTCTTCTTGCGACAACCACAATTTCTTATTTTTTCTGTCTCTGATGATTTTCATGCCTAAGATATTCTTGGCCTCTCCCAAGTCTTTCATAGCAAACTGCGATGCCAACATCTTCTTCACTTCTGCGATTCTCTTTATATTGGAACTAGCCACCAGCATGTCATCCACATATAAAAAGAGATATACAATATCACCATCGCTATACTTGTGAAAATAAACACAATGATCAGCTTCACAATGTGCAAAGCCTTTTTCTTCCATGAAACCATCAAACTTTAAGTACCATTGCCGCGGAGCTTGCTTCAAGCCATACAAGCTTTTCTTCAAGCGACATACCATGTGCTCTTTACCTTTGACCTCAAAACCTTTAGGTTGCGCCATGTATAACTCTTCATCTAGGTCCCCATGCAAAAACGCCGTTTTCACATCCAATTGCTCGAGATGAAGATCCTCCACTGCAACTATACTCAGCAAAACTCTTATTGATGTCATCTTTACTACTGGTGAAAATATTTCGGAGTAGTCAATTCCTTCTTTCTGAGAAAAGCCCTTGACCACAAGTCTCGCTTTGTATCTGATACTACCATCTGCTTTATTTTTTATCCTGTACAACCACTTATTTAACAAAGCCTTTTTACCTGCAGGCAACTCTGTTAACTCCCAAGTTTTGTTCTGAAGTAACGAGCTCATCTCGTCTTTCATAGCACGCTCCCACTGCATGTGAGATGTGTCTTTCTTTGCCTCATTATAAGTCTCCGGTTCTCCTGAATCTGTATATAAGACATGGTTCATAACAATATTAGCTGATGGATCAAAAATTACCTTTGGCTTTCTAACTCGTGTAGACCTCCTCAAGATAGGTACTTCAGGGTTGTCAGTATGTTCTGGATCACCGCGTTCCTCTTGAACTCCCTGTTCATTGATAATAGGTTCATCTTGAACCTCCCCTTCAGGTACATTTTGATTCGCTAGAACTATTTTCACAGGTATTGTGTCTAGCTCAACATATTCTGGTTTTACTGCCTTCTGATGCTCCATCTGATGATCCTTGTACATCTTTTCTTCATGGAATACCACATTCCGACTGCGGATGACTTTGTTATTTTCATAATCCCAAAGCCTATAGCCATACTCATCGCTACCATGTCCAATAAAGACGCACTTCTGGGATTTAGCATCAAGCTTCTTCCTATCCTCCCTATCAATAAGAGCATATGCAATACAACCAAAAACTTTTAAATATGAATAATCAATCTTTTTACCTGACCACTGCTCTTGCGGTATTTCTCCTTCAAGCGCACTAGATGGACTCCGATTAATCAGATAAACAGCTGCATCAACTGTAGCAGCCCATAAGTGTAGCGAAAGACCCGCATGTAGCCTCATGCATCTCGCACGTTCCAGAATGGTTCTATTCATCCTCTCAGCTACACCATTCTCTTGAGGAGTTCTAGGAACAGTCTTCAACCCGTGTATACCTTCTCAGCTCAAGTATTCTGCAAATTCCTTACTCGTGTATTCACCACCATTATCAGATTTTAGAGCTTTAATTTGATAACCTGTCTCTTTTTCTACCATGGCCTTCCACATTTTGAACATCTCGAATACTTCTGATTTTTCTCTGAGAGCATAGACCCAAGTCTTTCTTGTTGCATCATCAATGAATGTGACAAAATATCTCTTACCACCATAAGAGAGTTCCTGAGCCGGTCCCAACACATCCGTATGAACCACCTCTAATTTTTTACCTTTATTCTGTCGCCCATTCAACTGAAAACTAACTGCCTTTTGTTTTCCATAAATGCAACTCTCATAGAAATCTAATTCAACTTTCTGCAAACCTAGAAGTAACTTCCTTGAGTGTAACTGCTTTACACCCTTTTCACCAAGATGTCCCAAACGATAATGCCAAAGAGTAGACAAATTACCTGTAGCCACTGTAGTTGCAACCATATCACAGATATTGTCTCCCTGGAGAAGGTAAAGCGTACCTGTACGTTTTGCCTTTGCTACTACTCTTGCCCCTGAGGTTATCTTCCACTCTCCGCATCCAAAGGTTGTTACCAAACCCTCTTGATCAAGTTTACTAGTTGAGATCAGATTTTTCTTTAATTCTGGGATATGTCTAGTTTCGTGCAAAACTAGACGTCCTCCACCTGAGATGTTCATAATCACAGTTCCTTTTCCAACAATTGGACACATGTGGCCATTTCCCACAACCACTTGCCCAAAATCTCCACTGGCATAATCAGCAAATATGTCTCTTTGCGAGGTGCAATGGAAAGAAGCACCGGAGTCAATAAACCACTTGTCTGTCGTCAAGTCATACCCTGCAGATAAACACAAGTTCTCTAGCGAAGGTTCATCGCTAACCACATTAGCTCCTTGATTCTCATCCCGCTGCTTCTTTTTGTAGGCCTCACATTGAAACCTCCGATGTCCAGTCTGGTGACAAAACCAACACTCATCTTTGCGACCTCTCTCTTTCCCTTTGACTGTGATCTACCGCGCCTGCTGAATTTTCCTCTGCTTTTACTTCTCCCACGGTTCTCCACTGCTAGTGCCGTGGAAGATGTAGATGGCGAAAAATTATTTCCACCTGAGACTTTTCTTCGCATCTCTTCATCCATGATACTACTCACAGCATCATCCAGAGTCAAATCATCCTTCATGGTGCTTGAAATTCCCTGCACTGCGGTGTTGTAGCTTTCTGGAAGAGAACATAAAAATAATAAAGCTTGAAGCTTCATATCCAGATTTATGCCTGCGGATTCCAACTGACCTGTGACTTGCGTGAAACTATTAATATGCTCTGCTACGGAACGTCTATCAGATAACTTCATATTAACCAACTTCTTCAGCAAAAATACCTGATTTGATGTGGATGGCTTCTCATATATATTCGTAAGAATATCCATGGCTTCTTTTGCAGTTTTTGCTTTCGCGATGTGGTACCCTGTCTTTTTCGTCAACCCTAGACGAATCGCACCTAATGCCTTTCGATCAAGAATTTTCCATCCTGATTCTGCTGTCGGATCCACTTTCGCTATTTCAGGTTTCCAACCCTCAAGTGGTGCATAGAGATCTTTATGATAAAGATAATCCTCGATTTGGAGTTTCCACCATCCGAAATCCTGCCCGTCGAACTTATCGATCCTGATTTTATCTTCTGCCATATCGTTTGCTTTCAATCAAAAGTCACCGAAAAACCCCTCGATGTTCTCAATTAACCAACCAAGCTCTGATACCAGTTGTTGGGAATCGAGCACCGATTCCAGAAAAATAACCCAAACAAATGATCCTCACTAGCAGAATATAATAATAAAAGAACATAATCGAAAGAACACACCAGAGAATTTGTTATCGAAGTTCACCCAAACCTGGGCTACATCTCCGCGCAGAGGCACTCTGCGAATCCGCTAGACTTCGAAGAAAGTAGGAATACAATTATGATCTTCTCTCAAGATCGGAGCATAAAGAGATTGAGAACACTCACAAAGAAAAAACTCACTTTTTTCTTCTCTCTTTTCTTTTCTCTCTATTTTCTTCTCAGCGCTTGACGGCTAACTTCTATCAATAGCTGATATATAAAGCGTAGCTTTTAACCTAAAAGCAAAATTAATAGAAAAGACAAAAAAGCCCTTAATAATAATATTTGGCTTCATCCTCCGACATTTCACTGGATGTTACTTGAAAGGAGTTTTCGTTTCACATTACCGACAGCAAAAAGCTACTTTAATTTGGATGTCAATAGTGGAGACAGTCCTTTTCTTTACTAAGTCACTGTCCGTCCTTGTGTATGTGTATGCTCAAGATAGCAATAAGGGGCTCGTATTGTAATTATTAAGTCCAACATTAAGCATTAAGCTGAAGAGAGAGAAGGGAGAGAGAATAAGACTCGGCCTTGTAAGCGCTTGCGACATTCTTACCTAGACAGGGTCGACAGGCAATGAGGAAGTCCCAGGGCTGATGCTCACCTAAGGTCAGCCCAAAGTGGCTGAGCGTACGTCATAATTTGTGGCAGCGGGGTGGGTTCGCGAAACCTCTACCCATGCCCTCATCCCATAATTGGTCAAGTCCAATTCAAGACAGATATTAACAACTCTATAGGACCATTCAGTTCCGACGCTCAGTGGACACTAACATGGAATTCAAGCATAGCTTTATGGAAGCTTGAACTCTGCTTATCTGAAATTTGACTATGGGTACGAGATTATTGTCATTCGACGCTCCAAAACTTGGCTTGATAAGTGTTTTTTTTTTTTTTTTTTTTTTGGTAAAGGTAATAATATGTATAACTTTTCAAAACACCAAATACAACCTAAAACTTTGTGCCTGTGCTACGACAGTTTTTGTTGATAGTTTTTTTGATAAGTGTTCTTTTCGACAGTTTCAAATAATTGGTAACTAGACTTTGTGCCTGTGCTACGACCGATTGGGTTACACGGTTATTAACAATGGTTTTAAGAAACTATCAACAATTCCTTGGGGAAATGACTCTACGAAATGTTTAGATTTTGAGGAGCCATAAACCTGGAATGGTCACAAGAATATCGGCAATCAGTATCTGAGAATTGAGTTAAGATAACACTACAAAGTCTTAACAGGAATATCATTCTGAACAGGACAAAGTCGCCAATTATAGTTTTTGCGGATGCATTTCTGAAGCCTGGAAATGCCTTTTAGTTTTTCTAATCCAACCCTGAGCAACGAATTCAAACATTAATGACCAAATATTCTATTCTAGCGTAAACAAGAAAAAAATAACCCACGGAGCTTATCCTTTAGTTTTCTAGTTCGTGTGATACAGTCTACAAATTAGTAATAAGTCCTTTTCCTCGTTGGAAATTTGGCAGGAAATATGGATTTCTAGGCATGTAAGTCTCTGCTATGTAGGACGTTGCCATGATCTTATTAAGGTAATCGAGTAATTTGGCCGAAAAAAGGTATGAAAGCTATCTTCGGATATGAATAAAGACATATAAAGATACAGTAAATAGGAGGAGTTGGACTTAGCATTCGAGGGCTGTAGTTCATGTGCTTGGATTGGATCGGATCGAATGCGGACTAATAAGTCATTGGTGTAGCTATGGCCGGCGACCGGCCTAAGAAGAAGGAAAAAGAAAAAGAAAGAAAATAGGGTTAATACCACAAAAAACCCCAAATTGGTACACATGTGATAAATTTACCTTAAAATAATTTTTTAAGCACCAAAAATACAAAACTGGTACACATGTGACAAATTTACCCTCCATTTATTCTCGTTAAATTTTACAGTTAAATTACTGAGTTGAATGACACGTGGTAGCTGATGAGTATACCAGTTTGAGGTTTTATCCTCCGTTTATCACAGGTGTATCAATTTGTGATTTTTTATGGTCTAAATTCAATTCAACGGAAACTAATTGAGAGTAAATTTGTTATAAATGTATCAATTTGAAGTTTTTTATGATAAAAAAAGTTAGTTTTGAATAAAATTGTCACAGATGTACCAGTTTGGGATTTTTTATGGTCAAAAATTAGTTTGGGATAAATTTATCACAAGTATACTTGTTTGGGGTTTTTCGTTGTATTAACTCAAGAAAATAAAAAAAGAAAAAGAAATAAAAAATAATTAAAAATTCGATTTTTTTAAATATTTTCATAAGAACAAACGTTTGATTAATGAAAGACCCGAGCCCGAGCACCGAGGATCCGCGCACGGCCTTTGTGGGCCCGGGCTTGAGTGCTGGGGACCAAAGCTCGAGTGTCAGGACCCAAGCACTGCTTTTATGGATCCGGGCTCAGGTGTCGGGGCATTGGACATGGGTACAGGGCTTTGGGCCTGGCCTTGATGGACCCGGGCATGGGCATTGGGGTCCCGGGCCTAGTCGCCGAAGACCCTAGTACCGATATTTAGTCATATTTTGAAAAATGTTTACCTACTTTGTCAAAGAGGAAATTATTTTTTTGAATTTAAGCATAAGTTTTCCGTTAACTCATTTTCCTTAGCAAACTAAACGCTGGAAAATAAGGAAAATGATTTTTTTTATAATATTTTTCACAAAATAAATGTAGCCTGACATTTATTGTTTTTTTTTAGTTGCCATTGTGTTACTTGAACGACGAAGGCTATGAACATGAGAAATGCTCCCTTTTGGATTCTAGTGCTCTCTCTTCATCTCTCTGTCCTAGAGAATGAAACCCTAATCCAGCTAGCGAACTCATGATGTTGGAACAAACAAAAACAAACTCATGATACAAAACATGACAAAAGGTAGAATGGTTGGTGCTTTGCTAGTTTCACGAGTCTAAAACTCATCAGCCAATGCGAAACACTTTGGAAAAATGAGGACTCCTCCACTCCACCCTATAAATGTATCTTGTTCTCGTCTCTTCTATCCCAAGCTATCAAACGTCCAGAACCCCACTCTCTTTGATCATATTGTTCCATATTTCTCTAGCTAGCAACCAAAAAAAACATCATGGGTGTGTTTGCTTTCACAAATGAATACGCTTCCCCAATTCCTCCGGCACGGTTGTTCAAGGCCCTAGTTTTGGACTCACATAACCTAATTCCCAAACTCATGCCTCAAGCTATCAAGAGCATTGACATCATCCAAGGCGACGGAGGGGCTGGATCTATCAAGCAGATCAACTTCATTGAAGGTAATTACACAAATGGGCCATTTCTTTCTAGCTTAACGTATATTATGGCATATAAAAGTACACCGTGATACGATCTCCTATTATATACAGCTAGTCAGCTCAAAAGCCTGAAGAATCGCGTGGATGAGCTAAACGAGGAGACATTCACGTATAAGTATACTGTGATCGATCTCAAGGAGAAGTTCGAATCTATTGCTTATGAAGTCAAATTTGAGCCAACACCGGAAGGTGGGAGCAAGAACAAGATGACGAGCACGTATTACACAGAAGGCGATGTCGAGCTCAAAGAAGAGGACGTTAAGGCAGGCAAAGAGAGAGCCTTGGGAATGTACAAGGTTGCCGAAGCTTACCTCCTCCAAAACCCCTCCGCTTATGCTTGAAACTTAAGATGCTCTCTTTTAAATAAATTTAAGAAGTCCCGTCAATAAGTACTTGAGATATTTTCTATCTTCCGTTAGAAGTATCCGAGTTCCTTTACTTCTTTGTATGCCTACTGTAAACGTCCCTCAGATTTGGATGGCAATAAAGAGACGTACTTTTTAACACAATTGCAAGCGATTCCTGTGATTGCCTTGTGAGAGGAACTATTTGTAATGTTAAATAGCTGTAACGAGCCACAGAGTCAGCTTTCGGAATCTGAGCCTATACCCAGTTTCGTCTCGCAGCCAATTGAGTAGAGCCAACATTAAGGCTTGGGCTCTAGGCCCAGTGGAGGATTGGACGTGAACTTGTCCTATAGCAAAGTGCTTTCAAGATATGGCCCATGGAGTCACGTACAAATACTGCTGATGATTTCTTTGATATGCACCATCCATTGAACTCAATCCTATATTGAATTTTATGGGCTATTATTTTTCTTTTATATAAGTGAATAAAGTGAAGACGAGAGAGGAAAAGGGTGTGAATTGCACTTACCGGTGGAAGCCCACCCGAGCACGTAAGAGAGGCCAAGAGCTTAAAGAACTCAACATTCCAAAATGAACAACCTTAGGAAATAGTCGAATCATGTTACAAGCCATTCAATTCATTTATGCGTAGTCGATTTGCGACTTCGATTCACCTCAACCCTTCAAACACTCGCACCCATCTGTCAAGGGTTTCGTCCTTCAACAATGGGCTTATAATATGGTTCGCGGTTCCTAAGATTGACCATTTTGAAACAAGCACATTAGGCTCTAAAATTACAGCAAGTGTATATCGATGGCCTCTGATTTGATTCAATAGCTTGAACCATGAAAATTTACTGCTCTTTCATAGTAAGGTTCAGCAATGTCTGCCAACTTAATTTCTCAAAAAACCATGATCTCCCCAAATGCTAAAGGCCTCTTTCCTCCCCCGTCCCAAACTTTTGTTCATCGCCATAGAGATAGAGAAATTTGGTGTGAATCTTTTTTATCAATACTATGGTCTCAACGCCCACTGCGTCATACACCCGATCCCGATGGAGGAAGTACATGATCTGTAGGTCCGCGGTCGACCCAATCTAGTTGATTGGTGACTAATTAAGATTGTGCGTGAGTGTTGCTCAGAGCGACAAGAGATGTGATATTGATTTTGGATCATTCCTTTGTTTAGTAACCCATGGTACCATAGTCACCATTAGGGGTGAGCGTGGTCCGGGCGGGCGGTTCCCGACATGGAACCGGGAACCGCCCACTAAGGACCGGTTCAGAGAAATTGGAACCGGGAACCGCCCATTGGTTCCATGAATCCACCCGGGAATCGGACTGCCGGTCCGATCCGGTTCCCGGGTGGGTCCATGGAACCGGTCCCACCAAGTTTCACGCAAATAGAGGTGACCGAGAGTAAGAGGGAGAGGCGATGAACGGCTAAAAGCGCGGCCGTGAGTTAATGGGAGTTGAGAGTCGAGTTTTAGGCTCCGTTCGTTTGGCGGAAAATATTCTCCTTTTGGAAAATATTTTTCCGGAAGTCATTTTTCTGAAAAATGTTTTCCCGGAACATAATTTTCCGATGTTCGGCGACCAATATGAAAAAGTTTCGGAAAATATTTTTCGCCGGCGGCGCGGTGGCAACGGCGGCCGCGACCAAGGCGATCGGCGATCGGCGGCGGCGGCGGCGGCGGGCCGCGCCGGCGGCGGCGGCGCGGGGGGACCCGGCGGCGGCGGCGGGCGATGTGCGGCCGGTGGCGCGGTGGCCGACGACCTTAGTGAAGAAGAAGCTCCGGAAAATGATTTCCGCTTTTGAAGAAGCGAAAGTCATTTTCCATAGACTTAGGCTATTTTGTGAGGGGGGGAAGGAAAATATTTTCCGGGAGAATATTTTCCGCCAAACGAACGGAGCCTTAGATTATGGATTTTATGGTTTTCATTTTTCTAAACATGTTTTCTTTTTTTTTGTTGGTCAAAATTTTCCTAAAAAATTATATATATTACCGGTCCAGTCCGGATGGGCGGGTAGGCGGTTCCACACCTAAAACCGGGAACCGGACCGGTCCTCACGAGAACCGCCGGTTCCGGGCCAGTCCGATCCGGTTCCAGGCGATTCTCAGTTCCTTTGCACACCCCTAGTCACCATTAAGGGAAAATTTGTTCAAAAAGTCATAAATCTATTGCAATTTTGCCAATTGAGTCATAAACCTTTCAATTTTGCCAATTGAATCCATCTAACTAAATTTGACCTGAAATCGCTAACATAAACGCCGGCCATCCTACGTGGTATAGCTGGCGCTGATATTGACAATTTTTAATAATATTTTAATATTTTTTTGAGTTTTTTTCCTTTTCCTTCTTTTTTTTTCTTTTTTCCCTTTTCTCTTCTTTTCTTTTCTTTTTCTTATTTATTTTTTCCTTTTTCTCTCCGCCGGCCTCCAGTGAGGGACGCCCTCACCTTAGCTCACCAGATCAAGGACGATTGTTGCATCGCCCGCCAAGGTGAGGCGACCCTCGCCCGAGGCTGGCGACCTTCGCTGGCCATTGATGAGGCCCGACGGAGAGAAAAAGGAAAAAAGAAAGAAGAAAAAGAAGAGGAGAGGAAAAAAAAGAAAAGAAGGAAAAGAAAAAAAAAGGAAAAAATTAATTAAAAATTCAAAAAAATTATTATTACAAATTATCCACGTCAGCGCTGGTTGTGACACGTATGACGGCCAGCGTCCACGTCAGCAATTTTCGATCAAAATTAGCCAGATGAACTCAATTGGCAAAACGTGAAACAGTTTAGAACTCAATTAGTAAAATTAAAAGATTTAGGATTGAATTGACAAAAGCGCAATAAGTTTAATACTTTTTGGATAATATTCCCCTCCACTAAACAATTAATACAAAAGAGAAGAAATCTAACTTTTGACGAAATTTATACCCCATCGTCAAAGAAATGCCATTGCTAAGCAACCTCGTACCTTCCAATGTGCCCCACCCTTGAGCGCGGAAGCTTCATTCCATCTCTATCGAGCGAGCAGTCCTCGAAAGAAAAATAAGGGTTCGAGAATAGAACAATCTAGCGCCGCGTTGAATTGGTCAAACGATTTGCGCAGACATAAAGTCCCAATCTATTTATATTCCCTTTCATACATTGGAGACCACCAGTAGGTTGGATCCAATCTCATATCACTGCAAAGACCAGCGTCCTTTCATTCTTCCCAATTTTGATCTCCAATCTGAACTCCTTCACCGAAGTTCAGTCGATCCATTGAAGCTCTTTCTCTCTGTCTGTCGAATTTTCGGCTATCATGGGCATAACTCGATACCACCACACGTTCCGGGCGCAGGTGACCCCGGCCAGGATGTTCAAGGCCTTGTTCCTCGACTCGCACAACCTCTGCCCGAAGCTCATGTTCGCGTCCATCAGGAACATCGAGTTCATCGAAGGCGACGGGGAGGTCGGGAGCATCAAGCAGGTCAACTTCACCGAAGGTAAGAACGAAAGTCATATCTTGATTCATATTGATGGTCATCATGACCTGTGTTGTGTAGTCCTATTCACAAGTTAGATATCAGAAATTTTGAATTCTTGAGGAGTAACAAGGAACCGGGTTTCTTTCGGAATTCGCAGCTAGTCCGTTGAAGTACATGAAGCACCGGATCGACGCGCTCGACAAGGACAATCTCACCTGCAAGTACACTCTGATCGAAGCCGAACCGCTGATGGAGAAGCTCGAGTACGTCACCTACGAGGTCAAGTTCGAGCGATTCGGCTTCACCGGGTGCATCTGCAAGCTGACCAGCGAGTACAAAGCCAAAGAGGGCATTGAGATCAAGGAGGAGGACATAGAGCATGGGAAGGACAGAGCAATTGGGATGTATGAAGTTGTGGAGGCCTACCTCATGGCACACCCACATGCCTACGCTTGAGAAAAACCAGATTTTTGGTTCCTCCCTTTGTTTATTCTGCAAGTAAAAAGTAAAATGGTCGCTTATTGAACAATTCTTTAAGCAGATCTGGGTTTGTTTGTTCATTCAACAGTGTTCTTGTTCCTGAGGTGAGCTCAAGGGGAGTTGTCATGTGAACTGAGATTTGATGAATCTGGGTTCAGTATTATGAGTCATCTGACTATGAATTTTACTCTGCAATTACTCAAGTTGTCAAGTTATCAAAAGAAGCATTTTTTCTGCACATTTTAGAGAGAGAGAGTGCCGTGGAAGGGAAGGCGCTGGCGGCTAAGTTATTGGTGGCTGGAGTTTCATTTCGTTATAAATTTCACTTTTTTTGGGCAAGTTGCTTTGACACAAGTATCATGTGATCATTTTCAAGAATTAGATGGTGATGGGCCTAACAAGACTGTTTTTTCTTAAATTGTAAGGGTTCCCAGTCACAAGCAGCTCCTCAAAAATGTGAGTATGGCAAAAATACACCCAATTAGTTTATTCAAAGCCCGCCTCCACAAAAGAAAAACCTCAAGAGACTTATAATGAAAAGAAGTCTGTGTTATCCCCTCCTTTGAGGCTATTACTCTAGAATGATTGGAAGTTTTGACTGAGATGGCCTGCCTTTTTTGACTCAGCACCCCAATTCTTTGAATTAATAAAGAAATAACATATGCCAACTATTTGTCAAATTTAGTGCGGACTTTGATTGAATTTGAGTCTATCTGTTCTTCTTCTGCTGGTAAAAACCATATACTGTCACAGATGGTTTTACCTAACATCAGCATCAGCTGTATTTTCTTACAGTTTCAATTCTAATCCATTCCAGACAAGACTATATTGGTAATTTGTAATGTTCTTGTAGGACAGTTCTCTTCGGTAGAAAAGTTTAAACTCTGTGAATGGGTCTTCGAAATTTTCCGCACCCTCACAAAGCTCGAGAAAGGCCACTTCAGTTGATAGCACTACACACAAAGCCGGGTGTGGTCATGATTCAGATTCATCGCCTTAAAGAGGATGGTTCCGTTTCTTTGAGCGCCACTTCTTTTCCAGTTAACACTCCAAAGTTCTCTGTGTTGTGATTTTGGAGATAAAAATATAGATCGCTGGCCTTCAAGTCATGTTAATTACTTCAGGGGGGTGTCATGCAGCATTCGCCAGTAGTATGATTCGGCGAGATGTTTCCTGGGAAAGGATTGAATCTTTGATTTTGAGATCGGTATGAGGCTGCTGGCAATGACAGCTCCCCGTCGACATGTAATCTCAGAACTATGTGAATATGAACTGTCGGAGTGACCGTGAGCAGTTTTATGGAGTATGCTGTGCTGAAAAAGTTAGTCTGTAAGCCATGTTTGCAACTTGTTAAGATTAAGCCCTCGATGAGCTGAGGAAAACATCTTTTCCTGTTCAATCCCATTAAACCACCGGGGTGAATAGAACCACAGAGGTTTCTTTTGCCCTTTTTGACATTTTTCTTGTGCAAGATTCCATGAGACCACAAATCCATGATCGAACTTGTCCCCGCTGATATATTTCACAAAATTTCCCGAATAGAACCCACAGATACTAGCAATGGCCACCCTCCAATGTGGCTTTTTTTTCATAAAGCACACAGGTCCAAGCAATCATAAGGGAATCCTCATTCATTCACTGTAGACCAGGGAAAGTATTCTTCCCATTCTCAGTCAAAGGTGTCCCCAGCAAAAGGGTTGAGCATGATGACTGTATTAGAGGTTACCCAAATTTGATACAGAGACTCCCCCTGCACTAGGATTTCCATGCATGTTTCATTGTCTTTCCCATGAAACAATGCAAATGCTATTGAAAATACGCATCCTCCTGGCTCCTCAACAATCTCTAGTTGGCTTTAAGTCCCATGTTTACCTAATATCAAGTAATTCTGGTCTATGAGGGCTATTATTCCGTTCAGATTATGCAAGCAATTGATAGCATCACCAACTAGGCCAAAATAGCTCAGGGCCTCTCATACATCAGGTGAAATCAGCAATTTCACAACATGACCCGATGGTCTAGGTTGCGAATGATAACCATTCTGTTTCAGAAATCAATTTATAGTTCTATTTCTGTTCCTGGACAAGTTTTTAAGCAAAAAAACACGTTTGATAACAACACAAAATTTTTGTTTTCGAAATAAAAATTTGTTTGATAACAGCACAAAATTTCTCCCTCTCAGGTGACTAGCGAGTGGACAGTGGGCAGATGGCGGCGACAAATGGCAGGGCGGCGGACAATGGTAGCGAACAGCGGGCAGCGGATGGCGGGGGGAGGCGGCAGCGGACGACGATGTGGCCAGTGCGGAGAACGACGGCTGGAGGCGGCCAACGTCGGACAACGGGCGACGACCAATGGTGGGAGGGGGCAGCGAACGGTGGGCTACGGACGGTGGGGGGAGGCAACGGAGGATGGCGATGCGGCCAGTGCGGAGGACAGCAGCTGGAGGCGGCCGGCATCAGGCAACGGCGGGAGGCAAGCGATGAGCGGCGGCGGGAGGGGAGCGGCGGCGGGAGGAGAGCAGCAGGAGGAGGTGGCCGGCAGGCAGCGGGTGGCGGCCCACAGTGAGCGATGGCAGGGGACGGCGAATGACAGGAGGCGACAGCCGGCAAGTGGGCGGCAATGGGCAGTGGGTGGGCGACCGGCTAGTAACGAGGGCGTGCAATGAGAAGAATTTCTCATTTTTGTTCCAGAAATAAAAAAGTAGAAAATTTTTACTTCTAATTTCTGTTCCAAACCTATTTTTGTAATTAAAATTTACTCCAGAAATTGAAAAATGAAATTGCGTTATCAAACGGATTTCTGTTCCACACTTATTTATGAAACAGAAAAATAAAATTAGAATGATTATCATTCGCAGCCCTAGTGTCCAGAAATTTCTGGTTCAAGCGGTGCAGGAAGTTCATGGACCCGATGCCAGCCGGGGAATCTAACCTTCCAATCTGCATCAAACTTTATGACAAAAACAAATGATGGCTTTGCACATCACAAACCCTCTTAATAATGCATTAGGGACAGGTTCCATTTTTTCGTTACTATCAATTTGAGGCATAGTGTGAGCTTTTCTTGAGACACAAGGATTCCCTGAGCGTGCATATCCATCATGCTCGACAAAAGCCACTTTCATCTCTTTGACTGATGAAACCATATGCATCTCACTGATCTATCTTCTGCAATCCGCACCATCACTTTAATCCTTTTTTTTTCTTTTTAACTTTTCTTGTTATTTATCGCTGGTCGGTTTTGGATATCGTACGTGCACTCACACCCCCATCAATTATAGATAGCCACCCATCTTTAAAAAGCAAATTCTCTTTAGCTCAACGTTTCAGGGTGCAAGCAAAAACTGACCCTTTCTTCAACATTTGACAATGACATGAAAGAAAGAGAGAGCACAAGTAATATCGATTTCCCTCACACTCCGAGAAAAGAGATTCCTTACATGTCCCACACACTTTTGCCTTTCACATATTCCCCTTCTGGGTGCACAAATAAATGCCACCTATTCTGATTCTCTCTTTACACATGCCCATTCACCTCCTCCTCTCCAATCTGTTCTTCATCCCAAGCTTTGCCTCATGATTCCAGAATTGGAGGTATTGATGCTTCAGGAGTCCATTCCCTCAATTCATCTGTTTCTTATTTCCCCTTTGGAAAAAAGTTTTGATTTTGTTAAACATTGGGTTTGTGCTCTCTAATGACGCAAGTCTTTTTCATTCGTGTCCGCACAGAAGCCTCGGGTCACGGAGATAAATGTCCGGATGGACTGTAACGGCTGTGTGCAGAAGATCAAGAAGGCGCTACATGGCATTAATGGTAAGTGCAATCGAGAATTACTAAATCATCAGCATCAATTTCTTCATTTCTTCTTTCATTTATATATCTGACTTTTGTTCCAAGTAAAAGAGTTTGCTTTGCCGTCAAAATTTCAGGTATATATGATCTCCACATTGATTTCCCACAACAGAAATTGACAATTGTTGGTTGGGCTGATCCTGAGAAGATTGTCAAAGCCATTAGGAAGACCAGAAAAACTGCCACCATCTGTTCACATACAGAGCCATCATCAGACCAACCTTCTCAGCCCACAGAACAAGCCCCCAACAGTGGCGCCCCACCGCCTACGGAGGCAGCAAACCCTTCCCAACCTGAGGCCCCGCCATCAGAACAACCAAAGGAACCTCCGCCTCAGGAAAATCCGCCGCCGCCGCCGCCTCAGCAAGCGGAAAATCCGCAGCCGGATGCAAATCCGCCTCCAGCCGCTGCTGCCAACCCTCAAGAAGGCCAACTGCCTCCGCAAGAAAACCAGCCACCACAACCCTCCATGCCTAAGGAGGTAGGCGAGGTTCACACAATATACCATCACCCCCCGGAATATGGTTACAGATCATACGGCTGCAACCGCAGCTACAATGGCCACTACTACAACTACCCGAGCAGCAGCAGCCACCAAGCATTTCAACACGAGCCACCGCCACTGCCACCAGCGCCGGTCTACGTGACTCACAGCTACAACACATACAGGCCGTCACCTTATGTCACCGAATACGAGTACGTGAGATCACCACCACCACCACAATACAACTACAGTCAATACCGGAACATAGACCACTATGGGGAGGAGTCCCCCAGCAGCTATGCCAGCGCCGCTGGGAGCGGAAACATCACTTCGATTTTCAGCGACGAGAACCCGAATGCTTGCAGAGTGATGTGAGAGGATTGTCTTGAGGGTGATTGGCATGATCAAGCAACGCACATGGACCGTTCTTCGCCTTGGACTCAAAGAGGGTGTGGCAAAAGAAAAAAGGTTAATCCAAATTAGGAATAATTTGTAGGACAATAAAATTTGAGTGGCCGCAGTATTTTGGTGGATTAGCATTTGAGGAAAAGAATGAGATTCCAAGCTTGTAAGTGCAGGAAGAATCGGACATACAATGAGAAAGTTAAAAATGAAACTTGAAAGTCTAATTCAATGCCGTAACCATTTCCTTTTTCCTGGAGAAAGAATCTGATTCCGTGGGCACACATATACTTCCTTGGACTTCCATTTCTGCTACATGATAGACTACTTCTGTCATTTTAGGCAAAAGCTTCATGCGAGAAAACAAGTGGAAAGATCCGGAATTATGCGCGGCCTTGCCATGCTAGACCACGGACCTTAGAAAATCAAGCGCTGGGCCGTTCGACGACCAGTGAAGGACCGCCCTGTGTTTCTATATGCAACAGTGATTGATTGATTACTTTGGCAAATAAACTGGTTTGGACTGCTCGATAAGCATTTCTAAACTTCGCTATGAATGGGAAGAGGTGTTCTTAGTGTTCTTAATGTGTAATAGATAACATAGAACCAGCAGCTACCTGAAGGTATATGCACAAAACAAGAATGATTGAGAGAGTAATCGTGTAGATTCTGCTCACGGTCCATATATGCAGAAAAGGTTTTGGTATTAAGATCTGGCCAAAGATGACCGAAGTAATCCTATCTATCCTGCTCACCTTCTCTTACTTCATTGAGATTATGGATTAGCTTTCACGACACTGCATGTTCATATGAGGAAATATGACACAAATGGCCCTTGAATTTTGGCCTAATACGGGATGTGGTCCCTGAACTTTAGCCCAATGTGAAATGTGGTCCATAAACTTTCAATTTGTTCAATATAATCCCTAAACTTTCGGTACATATTCAATATACTCCATGAACTATATGAAAATATTTAATATTGTCCATAAACTTGAATTGATGGAAGGACAACATTGAACATTTTCATTTTATTCAGGGACTAGGTTAAACATGTATCGAAAGTCTAGGAACTACATTGAACAAATTGAAAGTTCAGGGACTACATTGCATATTGGACTAAAGTTCAGAGATCATATTGAACAATTTAAAAGTTTATGAATCATAGACCATTTATATTATTATTCCTTCACGAGAAATGAAAAGACCATTTTAACGTGGTTTTCGAGAGCCAAAAACAAAAGGCGATACAGACCAAGCAAATTTTAAAAGAAACATAATAAGGAATGGGATCTTCTGATATGATCTGATTCGTGCGATATGGAGTGATCCATCAGAGCTTGCCCAACCACGATAAATCACTATTAAAGACAATTGAGCTGTCAGACCTAGCTTTTGATTAAATTAATATCAGACAATGTGTACCACATGATTAATATAGTTGACCTAATGAATTTAAACGCAAGAAAATTATATATAAATTTAATAATTCTTCTTAATGCCCACGAGAAGGGCACTGTCATTATCATTGCCTCATAATTACTTGGGGGTCAACCTCGCTGTGACTTCCCCAAGATCTTACAAAGAAGTTTTACCTCGAAATCATATGGAAACTTCATTTGTCATCCATAATTATAGCATAGATTGTAATCACCACTAGTACAACATAGATATCTAATTCATGACAATCGGGTTTTACTCAAAGGTCCTAGATTGGTTCTTCGAAGGCGGTACGAATTTTCGAAATACACTTGTGGTGGTTTAACGTTAGTGATTTTTGTTGGTCTGGGTCCGCCTCTTGTGGGGTCCGGCTCATCATCTTGAATAAAAAAAAAAACAAAGAGCGGGACAGGCCCATCCACATTCGATGGTGAAATTGCATCGATTTGGCTAAATTTTCAGTATACTGTTCGCGAGTCCAAGATCTACAAGTTGATCGGCTTTATTCGTTGCAATCCTTATCCAAATTATTACTCAATTTCTCTAACAGGGTTGAAGCTTCTTCCTTCTTTGAGTTAATCAACCTTTGTTGCAATGATATATTGTAGTTTACTAATCTAAATAGCCTCCAGCTGTGGCTCGATATGTGAACTATTACGTATTCTACTATTCTTAGAGATTAGTTGAAGTTATTTTGAGCAGCTCCATGAGTTTTCCCGCATTGGGTTTTACACGTAAAATTTGTGGGTGCTGTTTCGAATTTTGCCTTGCTTTAATTTTAAGCACCATATTTACCGCTTTGAGATTGATATTATTGGAATATTGTGACTGGCTGCTGCTTGGTATATTTGATATTAGTTAATTGAGTTTTGGACCCCAACAATTTTCGTTGTCAAGATATTATTTTCTGAAAAGAATACATTTAATCGGCACGAGATCGTAAAGAACCCCCCGACACTAGGTTTAGAATTCATGTTTGCATGTCATGTTCGCGTCATTTCAAGTCGTTACAGAGATGTTTCGACGTAAATTCAACTTATTTCCACTGCAGATTAGTACAAAGGTGTCAATTTGGAGTTAAGCTGAGCCGAGCCGAGCCTGGCCAGGTTTCTCTCGGTGAGTCTGTGTTGGGTACGATTCGCGTTTCTCGTGTCGTGTCGAGAGTTGTCACCCTTTATCCGACGGTGATGTACGTAAAATGTATGCCGTTACTCTAATAATTTAAGCTTTTAAGAGAAAACGATTTGAATTCCTCCACTTCTCCTCCGAGGAAAATATTGGGAAGGAAAAGTATCTATACATAGATATATTTTTTCATGAAGCTATGACAAAATCGAGCTATGCTTGATTTATTTATTAGAGAGAGAGAGAGAGAGAGAGGTTGGCCCACCAGGCCGGGCCCACAAGCCCAAGTTGGATCCAGCCACTCTCCATTCTTATCTCCAGAAAAGCCTCCCCATAATTGCGATTAGCTCGCCCGAAATGACCATATCACCCCCATCATCGGGTCCGCGTGCCCCCGGCGAACGCGCGGGACTTTTCAGTAATTCCACACCACTGCAGATGACCCCTCTAATCATCCTTCCTTCCTCCCTTCCTTCCTTCTTCCTTCTCCGAGCCATCATCGTCAGTTCACAGCTGCATTCCTTCCTTCACCTCCGTAGCGGAGCCGCATTCCGGACCTCCGGCCTCTTCCCTCCCCCCCGGCGCCGGTGAGCCCGATGGCGACGGGGACGGCGGCGACCGCGGCGGGAGCGGCGGTGATCCTGTACTACGTCCTGAGGAGGACGCTTGCCTCGAAGGAGGGCGGGGGCGGCGGCGAGGAGGACGAGACCGGGGACCGCGGCGGGGATCCGTCGAGATCGAGCAGGTCGCTGAAGAGGAGGATCGCCCGGCGGCCGGCCCAGGCGCCGGCGACGCCGCTCGAGGCGATCGCGACGCTGGCGGAGACGCTCCGGTTCACGTACTCGGAGACTCTGGGGAAGTGGCCGATCGGGGACCTGGCGTTCGGGATCAAGTACCTGATCAGAAGGCAGGTACGTACGGGCTTGTTTTTCTCGGGGTTCTTCGGCTGGAAACTTTTGGTTGTTTAGGCCTGTTAACGCAGTCGCTTGGCTTGGATTTTAGTGTAGTTGAGCTATACGATAGTGTCTTGTAGCGTGGCAAGTCGAGCCTCTTGATCAATGTTCAATCGCTGGTTCCTCAAATGGTGAACTTGGAAGATATCGCCCTGGCACTGCAATCATTTTAGTACGGCTGTTACGGCGCCTGAACCAGTTGCATTCCTTGGTTGTAGTTATGAATGGCAGCTTGAGAAGCAATTTGTCTACAAGTTGTTATGCTACATGTCTTCTCGCAAGTCAGCTATTTTAAATCATTGTTAGGAAAACTTCCATATACATTGTCTCGATCGCGAACAGCTATAGCAAAGAACATTTATAAGCAGTACCAATAGGAGATACTGACAGGAAACGATAGAGTTGGTATCGTTGTTGTTTTCTCTTGCTTAATAACGGAAATGAAGCGTCTTATGCTTTGTCATGTCTAGTAGAGATTCAAAGATTTAATTTTGCACATCTATAATTGTAAAGATTAAAGAAAAAGGACGGTGATTCTGTATTATGTCGTATATTATTCTCCTTGCAACTTTTTCATCAGCATGTACGAATTCTTGCAGGGTAATATCTCAGTTGCAAGTATATATGCTGGAAGTAACTGCATGCGGCTGGGGGGCCTTGAGATTCTGACCAAGGTGAATCATCTCTTGAGGTTGCTGACGCTTTGCATGCTCTTCTCTAAGAAGCCATTTCCAGTGTTTTTGGAGTCATCCGGATACTCTCAAGAAGACGTGCTCCTTCAAAAACCTAAGGCCGCGGTATGTTACCTTCATAAGCACAATCACAGTGATCTGACCTTGAATGATTGCCCTGCCAAACATCGGATGGGTACACCGGCTTAGCACATTTTAAGATACTTTTCAATTTCGGAGAAAATCTCTTTTGCAGTTTTTTACTTGAAGTATGGCTGGATACTCTTTCGACTTTCGAGAAGATCCATTCTGCACCTTTTTCAACAGTGGATTGTCGACACTGTTGACTATTTCACTGACAAGATTAAATAAATTTTTCAAATATTACGCTGTGGGTGACAGTCTTGGCAAACCCTTTTGCTCATAAATGACTACTTTTATCTTTGAAGAGCAAGAGCTCATTCTATATAATTTGTTTATGATATATGCAGCTTTTGAAGCCCGCTTTTACAATAATACGTGACAAAAGTGAAAAGTGCCTTCTCCTATTGATTCGGGGTACACATAGCATCAAAGATACGCTAACTGCAGCAACTGGCGCAGTGGTCCCTTTTCACCATTCAGTTTTATGTGATGGTGGAATTAGCAATTTAGTTTTAGGATACGCCCACTGTGGAATGGTTGCTGCTGCTCGTTGGATTGCTAAGCTTAGTACTCCTTACTTGCTTAAGGCTCTTGATGAACATCCTGACTACAAGATTAAGGTACTTTATGTCTCCTGTTGGGAAGGATCACTGGAAGCTCTTAAGTGAAATTATTTTCTTGACTAACAAAAATGGGATAGCAGTAAATTTTTCCTCTGAACTGTCAACTGTGTATGAAGTAGTTGGTGTTTTACTTAAATTTGTAAAGCTTGTGTTTGTTCTTCTGTTTCCAGGTGGTTGGACATTCTCTAGGTGGCGGTACTGCTGCACTCTTGACCTACATTCTCAGAGAGCAGAAAGAGTTCTCCTCAACCACATGTGTCACGTTCGCCCCTGGTAAGCACAACTTATTTTTTCATGCCAATACATGATTATTACCTGCGAGATGGTAATTAGCTGGACAAGCTGTAACGCATGATTTTCACCTTTATATTTTCACCCAAACCTGTGAGGCAGTAATTGGGTAGGCAGTTGCCTAATTGTCAAGCTAAAGTTTAGCAAAAAAATGAAGTTGGTAGAACAAACGTTACTGTTTTTACTATGTTTCCGGCTAGTTTAAACTGGTTGTAGCTTGTTTTTGGCCACAAAGAAAAAGAAACTGTAGAAGCTTGTGGGGTATCAGGATCTGGAGATTATCAGCTTTTTGAATTGATATAAGACTTGTTGGTGGAGACAAGGAGGTTTATCTCAGCATCAGAGGGAAAATTAACCGACCAATGAGCAAAGTAATCTTTGACATGGGCGGCACAGTGTTTCCACTGCATGATCATGAGATTGCTTATTTAACTGAAGCGGGATCTTTTACTAGACGCGACAATCTTCATCTTCTTGTTTGAAGGATGTTTGGTAATGACTTTTACATCTGCCAGTTCATCACTTTGCTGAATTTATAGTGGAAATTGATTCAGTTTTTCTCCATAGGACTGGGATTGGTGATGTAGATCTGCCACATTGAAACTTGCGTGTTGTTTTCCTTTCTTAACTAGGCAATGACTGAACTTGTGAAACCATAGCAAAGTTGTCTTCTTGCCTCTTTGATTTGAATTTAAAGGAACACTTACGCTACTTCTGGTAAAATATGCACTTGACTGGTAACCCTACCGGGGAAACTACATAGATAGAATGGTAAAAATTCAATTTTAGCAGGAAGCTTATTGTACTTCTACCATTCTGCAGCTGCATGTATGACATGGGAGTTGGCAGAATCAGGCAAGGATTTTGTGACTACTATAATAAATGGCTCTGATTTGGTGCCAACATTTTCAACCGTTTCCGTTGATGATCTTCGTTCAGAGGTAGATAACTGTTGATTCCTCTATTCCCGCTGTAGTGCCCTTTCAAATGTAGGAATATGGGGAATTCTATTATTCCTCCCATTCTGTCGAACTAATGAGTCAGTCTTATGTCTAATATCAGGTGACAGCATCATCCTGGTTGAATGATTTAAGGGATCAAGTGGAACAGACGAGGGTCCTAAATGTTGTTTATCGCTCTGCAACTGCTATAGGATCTCGTCTGCCTTCTATGGCTAGTGCAAAAGCCAGAGTTGTTGGTGCCAGCGCACTTTTGCGCCCAGTCTCAAGTAGCACTCAGGTAATGTTGCGTGTCATTATTACAGCTAAAATGGCGGATACTGTCTTCTACACAGCCTTGTGCGCGTTTGAATGTGCTGAGCATTGGATACTAAGAGACATAGGGTGTAATTACTTTTAAAATAATAAAAGAAAATGGTATTCTATCATATTAATATGTGATGCGCCCATTTTAGGGGGTGATGAAGAGAGCACAAAATGTAGCTCAAGCTGTAGTCAGGACTCGCCCGTCTCTATCTTCATGGACCTGCATGGGTGCTCGTCGCCGCAACGTTGCTTCTTTATCAAACTCGAAAGTTGAGGATCAGCCTGAAGTTCCTCTTATACCTGATAAAACATGTGAATCTCATCTGACAGAAAAGACAATGATAGGGTCTGTACAAAGTCATAATGAACTTCATCCCAGTGATGGATCAGGAATCGACAGTACAGATGAAGAGGAGGAGCTCATTCCAGGGGAGAGAGATATATCAGAAGAAGCAGAAAACATAACAGAAGGCGAGTTGTGGTATGAATTGGAGAAGGAGCTTCAAAGGCAGGAGAAGGAGCCTGACATTCAGGCCCAGGAGGAAGAAGCAGCTGCAGCGAAAGAAATTACCAAGGAGGAAAATGAGATAGCCGATGCTTCAGAGAGCCAGAAGGCTGGAACTTCGCTCAACTCCCTAGAGAGCCACAGGTTTTATCCTCCCGGGAGAATTATGCACATGGTCTCTCTGTCGGCATCATCTGACACCGACATGGATCACGGCAGCTCTCACGAGGAACGTGTGGGAATTTATGAGACGCCAAGGGAATTGTACAGTAAAATCAGACTATCAAGAACGATGATCAATGACCATTATATGCCTATGTACAAAAGGATGATGGAATTGTTAATTAGGGAACTGGAAAATGACGAAGTATATTGTGAAATATGAGAATAGTTGGTTTGCTTTCGATTTCAGGCCATAGGAAAGTGACGAGATTCACGCCAAATGGGGGACTAAACGGATTGAGGCTGGAAATAGTATGTCAAATGGGATTCTATATTATGCGACTTTTTGAGTCATGCGCCTTACAAAGAAAATTGCACTGCACGTGTCTTTTATAATGCTTCCTTCAAAGATAATATCCAAGTTGGAGGAAAGAGAACTGTTCCTGTCTTAATAATAAACAAAGAAAGTAGTTATTTCGACTGATTTATATGTTAGTAAGTTATGAGTTATGATTAATTTATAATTTTAGCTAAATTATGAATAATAATAAATCATTTATGGATGGGTATTGGACATCAAATTCACTTTTAATATTGTTTCTTAGTATTGCAATTCTCCATGGCGGTTAGAATTCTATAATCCGCAATTCTATAATCCGCCGTTCACTGACGAAACTCCCTTAAAACTCCCTTATCGACGACGTGCGATTATCAAATAGAGTGTTCTTAATGTCAAATGGTCTTGAAGGATTATCACTTGATGTGGGATTATCACCGGGGCTCTATTAATGTCAAATAGAGTCTCGAAATTACCGTCATCTGTCATCCGTAAAACATAAGCCCTTCATCTCGAATTGAATCTCTTTGAATAGCCTTCCAATTTATTGAATGATGCGTTGGGTATCCGGTAGGTGTGAGCCCCACCAAAAGAGGCGAGGGCTTCCAAAAATTGGCGGGCAAGTCCCACCTAAAGTAGAGCAGGACCCGCTCGCCTTGTTACTAGGGTGTGTTCGTTTGTACTAGGTGTCGGCGCGACCCGCCGTCTCTAAACGATCATTGACGAGTCGCCTTTCACCCCTGACAGGACGAGTTAATCCATACGTGCCTAAATCGAATAAGTTATAAGCAGCCACAGAACTGTAGGAAACTCCTTTACGGTCGATGTGGGATTTTCAGTCCTCCTCTTCTCTCCTTGCCTTTTCGACGCCAGATTAAACGGTGCTTTCGCGACTGCCCATTTGTTATTTGAGGCTGGTTTTATCTGTCGGAATTGCAAAGAGCTTGATTCAACGATTAAAATTGAAGAGAAAGGTGAAGAGCTCTTTCGCGATCTTTTAGGGCGGAACACGCAGAGCTGGGACAGAACGCCTATTTGTTTTATTGGATCTGTGGTTAGAGATCTACAAAGGTAAGACCTTTCGTTTGTATGTACAGCGACTGCTTTGAGTCATCCTAAAAAGGCAGCAACAATAAATTGGATTCAACCATCCAACCCGCGGTGTTTCGGAGTTTTGACACCAACTCCTCTTGTCGGAGCCCTCAGAGGGCGATCGAACCCCGCGGTCACCGTATTGTGAAAGAAGAGGCAGATAGCCGAGATGTCGTCCATCGCGATGCCTCGCCTCTTGAGCTTCCATCCACGAGCGGCGCACTCTACCAGCGTCTTAGCTGACTTCTCCCTATCAGGTGCCGACGACACGATTTGAACTGCTTCATGGTTGGATATCACGTCCCACACCTGCGCATAGATGCGTAAACGTTCAGAATCTGAACTATCATATATCGATCTCAATCCATTCTCTCTTGGGCAACAATGTAACTTTCCAACTAAGATCTGGTAGACGTTAGATTGAAAATTGTTCTTCTTTCCGTAACAACAGATAGCTATCTGAGTAGGATATCGGCTTTATATAGGAAAATCAAGGTGTATTTATCAACTAAATTGATCACATATTTAACATTTTAGTCTCAATTTAAGGTTGTGTTCTAAGCTAAGTGCCCATTTTAACATTAAATGATGGTTGCAATATCCACAAAAATATGTGAGCTCGTGACATTTGCATTAATTCCATAGTTGGGTTGCCAACCCTCAGATCATCACATGGAAAACATCACAGTTCAGGCAATATTCATTAGCCACCGCCACGTAATCATTTCCTATCTTGATCCTATGAGGCCTCCAAGCTAGCTCAATGGTGATTCATAGTAGTTTACACTGAATTCTCAATCAACTAGATCAAAGATTAATGCATACATAGAGTTTACATACCCGAATGCAAGAGAAAAGCAGATTCTTTTCACATTGTTTCATTTTACTCAATTTCACCACAGAATCCATTTGAGCTTACCCCTAATATCATCTTATCTTGGAAACTCAAGCTAACCTCCCAAATCCATAATCAAAGTTACTCATTTTATCTACTTAGAAAGTCCTGATGCTTTATAAAACAGCAAGCAAAATAAGAGGATTATGAAAATGCTTACTCCATCAGTAGCCAAAATGATAAATTGGTCGCGGCTGGTTATCTTTCGTTGTGTCACATACGGCACTGAGATTAGTCCAAAGTCCTTTAAGCAGAAGTCACCAAAGGCTCTTGAAACTGCTAATCCCGGTGTCTTATCATTTGGCCTCCAGACCCTGTACGCCCCTGGTTCATCGTGCAAACAATATACCCTCCCTTTTGACTGCTTTATTCGCTCAGCTTCCCCTGTTACCAACATCAACAACACAATATAAGTCTTCCAAAACATGTGTCTCCATGCTCAGTGTCACATGCTCACATACACACAAGCAAGTAGATAACATGTAGAGAGAGAGAGAGAGAGGCTTACGAGGTAAGTTGGGCTTAAAATCGATGGTTAGCTGAAGAGGAACCAGACTGCCATTATCAGAAGAAGTAGCCAGAACAGCCCGAGAATCACCAATATTTGCTATAAGAAGATTTTCACCCTGAAATCATAGAAAATGGAAAAGGAAATCTTCAGACTAGACTATGACAGATTAAACCTGAGAGATCCATAAATGATCATAAACAGGCAATTAAATGAGCTTTGGTTATTTAAAAAATACAGTGAAAATTTTGCCCATATTTTTTCAAAGACAGTGAGAAAGAACAGTTAACGTAAATGAAGCCAAACTGGGGCTGTATGTTAAACTTAATAGTTCAGCAGACAACATTAGATTGTAGTAAATTTTTATAAGAATTCTCTTGATGGACAGGCCAAGCATGCACTACACAAGTGCAACCAAAAAAAAGTGTGAGCCTAATCAGGGTACCTGTTTAACAATTGTCGAAGCTGTAGTTCCACTAAAGAAAGTATCGATACTCCTATGCAGCTTCAGCTCCTGGTCAATGGCAGCATACGTTTTCAGGAAGGATTGCTTCCATATGTCAAAGTCCTGAAGGTTTGCATTCCAATCTTGGGATCCTAAACCGAGAGCTTCTTGCCATTTACACAGCAAAAAAGAAGGCAACAACTCCCTGACCCGCTTTGCCACAACATGGCCCCAAGGACCATGGCCATCAAACACTCCACAAAAGGTCATGTCCTCTTGACAACCATACTCCTGCCAAGAAAAGCACGATAATTTAGGCAAGGTCCATTTGCACAAATCTTCTTCTTTTGCAGTATAGTGTTTGTTGGCTTCAGAAAAATCCAGAAGATGATTGAACGACCTACCTCCCAGAGTATGAAGCAATCCTGATTTATACCTTTGTGTCCTCTTTTGGAGCATGCAGAGGCGAGTCTACTAGACTTGCTAGTCTTAACAGCAGCTGTAGAACTCAAGATCGACTCGTTCCTCTTTGCTTCCTTGGCCAGGGTATTTGCGGCTTCCCTTCCAACATCACATGGACCACTTTTTCCTTTCTTATTTGATATGGTTTTCGCAAGTCCATCAAGGAAAGTCGGTAACAAAACCATAGCCCCTGCATCTCAACAAAAGGCAATAAATCAGCAGCCTTTAACATTTTGTAGGAAGAGGCCAAGCTCGTGAGAATCACCCAGAAATCTGACAAAATCATGAAAAGGTGAAAGCAAATTTATCACATTCAGGGATTCAAATGGATTTTACATAATATAGGTGAATTTTCCGATCTTTACATACTAGAGCAAAAACTGAAGACAGAATGCTTCCATTTCTTTGCATCCATCTTCAAATAGATCAACAAAGCATACCAAAACCACATAAAACACGAAGATATATTTGATAGTTCAAAGAAACTTCTTCATAGCATAGTATTCAATCGAATAAACGCAATTATATAAAAAACCGCGGCCCTGCATGTTTATGTACAAAATTTCCATAAGAACTACACGTATAGAGCCCATTGAATTTTACCAATTTCCCCCCCAAAAAAAAACCGACTCTTGACTTGTTCGATAGCCGAAACAACCCGGAAGAACCAATAGAAAACAAATTCCCGCGACCGACCGTGCTCCTAAGGAAACAAACCAAAGCCTCCTCGACCGGAACTGCTAGATGGCAGTATTAGGCTCAACTGAGCAAGAGAATTTCGTTACCTCCTCTGCAGTGGCTCCATAATTGATAATAATAATAATAATAATAATAATAATGCTAAACTACAATTTATAAACCTTGGAGTCTCTCTGCAACCACCTCCTCATCTACCAAATTCTTAGTATAACCATTTTTGCTATCGTCACACCGCAAAGATGAACGCTTTCACTTTCTTTTTTTTTTACTTTGGTTTCCGGTGGAAACAGATATTCTGAGCAAACAGAATCCAGCACAGTTCGCAATTGACCTCACACGCTACAGTCGCTTCCCAGAAGAAACCGAAACAAGAGACAAGAAAAACTCACATCAATCTCCAAAGAAGCAACCGGAAACATTAAACAAAACCCGAAATAAAGTACGTCAATCATGGCGACGGTATCGTCTCATCCTCCGATCACACATTCGCTCCCGATGATCGCAACCGTCCAACACCTCCATTTCCTCTCTCTCTCTCTCTCTCTCTCTCTCTCTCTCTCTCTCTCTCTAGAAAGCGCAAAAACGAGCTAAAAACTGAACTCCGAAGGCGATGATGAACACAGAGAGGAATCGATATATGATCGCAACCATCCAAAACCTCCATTGCCTCTCTCTCTCTCTCTCTCTCTCTCTCTCTCTAGAAAGCGCAAAAACGAGTTAAAAACTGAACTCCGAAGGCGATGACGAACACAGAGAGGAATCGATATATGATCGCAACCATCCAAAACCTCCATGACCTCTCTCTCTCTCTCTCTCTCTCTCTCTCTCTCTCTCTCTCTCTCTCTCTCTCTCTAGAAAGCGCAAAAACGAGCTAAAAACCGAACTCCGAAGGCGATGACGGGCACAGAGAGGAATCGATATCCAGCACCAGTACCTGATCGGAATCGCCCGCTGCCTCCGGCCGACGAAGCACCCGATCCAGGCTCCGGAATGCAGACGATCGCCGGAGGAGACGCCGGCGCTCGCGTTGCTCGGAGAAGGAGGAAGAGGAAGGAGAAGAGGAGGAGGAAGATGAGGAGGAGGAGGAGCAAGTGTCGCTTGGACTCCTCCATTGCCGACTTCTTTATCAAGCGTGTACGTGTAGAGTCGGCCGAACTCTTAAAAAAAAAAACCAAAAAGGAAACGGCATTTACGCGGTTGTGGAATTACCGGATTGCCCCTTTCGTCCTTTCGGATTAGAAGAATCTGGCGTTGGATTTGGAAGGAGGGGGTTCGGTTTGGGGAACCGAATATATAAATCGAATTTGCAAGCTCACCTCTCCCCCCCCTTAAATTCCAACGTTTCGTATTTTAGGCGAAATAATTGTATAGAAATTCCTCCTCCCTCGTTAATCGAATCTCATTAGAAATCTCGTATGAACTATGGATAATAGTATAAATAATCTCTGAACTTTGATATGATTGTGCAATATCGTCCACGAATCTTTAATTTGTTGTAATGCGATCCATGTACTTTGACCCAATGTGCAATGTCGTCTATGTTGAGGTTGATATCTTGTACTCTATTATCCAAGAGATTATGAGGCGGTTTGAAAGGCCCCCTGACGACTAGACAGCACGGGGGTCCCGCTGTGAGCATAGAAGGATTTATATGGAAAAGCTAAATATTTTAGGCTATGTGGGTAATTTTGTAATTTGTGTCATGTAGGGTTTCGCTATATATGTTTAGGGCGAAACGGGTCTCTAAAAAGAGAGGGAGGGAGTGAAAAAGAGCGGCTGTACACTTTTCTACGTTATTAGTGAAACAGATCTCATCTCCCCGTGGACGTAGGTAGGCGGAACATCTCCCCTGCTGAACCACGTAAATTCTTGTGTTGTGCGAATTTCCATTACTTTCTTGCATCGTTGATAGGATCGAATTTAGATATTCGACAATTGGTATCAGAGCTTGGTTCGGCAAGCTATCAAGATGGCAGGAAAGGGTTCGAGTGTCAAGTACGACATCGAGAGGTTTAATGGAAAGAACAACTTCACTCTCTGGCGACGAAGAATGATGGATCTTCTGATTCAGCAGGGCCTGTTGAAAGTGCTGCTGGGGAAAGGGAAGAAACCAGAAACGAGTGATGAAGATTGGGCGGAGATGGAGGAAAGGGCGGTAAGCGCCATTCGATTGAACCTATCTGATGAGGTTCTGCAGTATGTGATGGATCTCAAGTCGGCTCCGCAGGTGTGGTCGAAACTTGAGAGCATCTATATGACCAAGTCCCTAACGAACAAACTGTTTTTGAAAAAACACTTACACTCTCTACAGATGGAGGAAGGCTCAGATCTGTTAGAACACATCAACACGTTCAATCAGATTCTGAGTAAACTTGCAAGTCTGGAGGTAAGTATGGCAGATGAAGACAAAGCCCTATTACTGCTATCGTCGCTACCAGCATCTTATGATCATCTGGTGATGACACTCTTGTATGGAAAGGAGACGCTTGAGACAGATGAGGTCACTGCTGCCCTATTATCTAATGATACAAGAAAGAGGGTTAACAGTGCTACGGCACGGGTGGTGAGGTCTCATTGGAAAAGTCAAGGAGCGAGAACGGGAAGAACAATTGCGGAGATCCGGGAATAAGGGTCGATCGAAATCAAGAGGGGGTAAAACAAAACTCTCTTGTTATTATTGCAAGAAGGAAGGCCATCTGAAAAGAAACTGTTATAAAAGAAAGGAAGACTTGAAGAAGCGCGAGAAAACTTCTAATCAAGCAAGTGTGGCTGATAGCTCAGACGGTGATGATGGAGATCTTCTCTCTATATCATCAGGTAAGAATCAGTTCACTGATTCATGGATTTTAGACTCTGGATGCTCTTATCACATGTGCCCGAATAGGGATTGGTTTGATTCATACCGGTCATACAGTGGCGGATCTGTTCTAATGGGGAATGATGCGGTTTGCAAAACCATTGGAATAGGGACTATTAAAATCAGAATGTTTGATGGTATAGTTAGAACTTTAGTGGATATAAGGCACGTTCCAAATCCAAAGAAAAATTTGATATCTTTGGGTGCGCTTGATGTGAATGGCTGCCAGTACGCAGCAGCAGGTGGAGTTCTCAAAGTCATCAAGGGAGCTATGGTTGTCATGAAAGGAGAGTTGACTGGAACTTTATACAGGCTCATAGGGAGTACAGTAACAAGTGGAGCATCCGTGACTACAGCTGCAGAGTCCGATTCAGATGACACTCATCTGTGGCATATGAGGTTAGGGCATATGGGTGAAAGGGGTATGATGGAGCTCCATAAAAGGAAGCTGTTAAAAGGTGTCAAAAGCTACAAATTGAACTACTGCAAATACTGTGTTTTCGGAAAACAGAGCAGGGTTAGTTTCAGAACTGCGAAGCATACGAGCAAGGATGTACTTGATTATGTACATACCGATGTATGGGGTATTGCACCGATCAAATCAAAAGGTGGAGCCGAATATTTTGTGACCTTCATTGATGATTACTCAAGGAAAGTCTGGGTCTACTTCATGAAGCAGAAAAACGAAGTCTTCTCCAAATTCAAAGAGTGGAAGGCTGAAGTAGAAAGGCAGACAGGAAAGAAGCTAAAGTGCTTGAGAACAGACAATGAAGGGGAATACAGGTACACACCATTCTTAGAACTATGTAAAGCTGAAGGGATCATACGTCATTTCACAACATCAGATACACCACAGCAAAATGGTGTAGCTGAGAGGATGAACATGACACTTTTGGAAAGGGCCCGGAGTATGAGGCTGAATGCAGAGCTGAGTAAAAGTTTCTGGGCAGAAGCAGTTAATATGGCATGCTATCTCATTAATAGGTCTCCATCTACAGCCATTGAATGCAGAGTTCCTGAGGAGGTATGAACAGGTAATCCGATTGACTATTCTGGTTTGAGAGTATTTGGTTGTCCAGCCTATGTTCATGTACAAAGTGGACATCGTTCCAAGTTAGACTCAAAGTTTAAGCAGTGCATCTTTCTTGGCTATGAGAAAGATATGAAAGAATTCAAGCTATGGGATCCAAATGCACGGAAGACCGTGGTTAGCAGGGACGTTGTCTTTAATGAATCTGACATGGTGAAGGCAAATAACAGTTCACATGCAGATGGCAGAAGTGAAGAAGGATCTACTGTGCAGGTGGAGTCAGGTGAACCAGAAATAGCGGGAGGAAGGGAATCATCCAGTAACTCACCAGAATCACACGAGACAGAAAAAGATACCTACACCATCGCAGAAGGTAGAGGAAAACGTACTCACAAAGCACCTGTGAGATACGGGTTTGAGGATATGGTTGCTTATGCCCTCATAGTAGGTTCAGGCGATCCATCTTCCTATCAGGATGCGATATCTGATGCTGATAGTGATAAATGGATTTCAGCTATGATGGAAGAAATGGAATCCTTACAGAAAAATAGGACTTGGAAGATTGTGGAGAAACCTAAAGGGCGAAAGATCATTGAGTGTAAATGGATTTTTCGCAAGAAAGAGGCAGTGTCTGAGAATGAACAGGTAAGGTACAAGGCTAGACTTGTAGCTAAAGGGTATGCACAGAAGGAAGGGGTGGATTATAATGAAATATTCTCTCCAGTAGTAAAGCACACTTCCATTCGGGTTCTACTTGCCTTGGTAGCCATGTTTGATTTTGAGCTTGAGCAACTTGATGTGAAGACGGCGTTTCTTCATGGAGACTTGGAGGAACAGATTTTCATGGAGCAACCTGACGGGTTCAAAGTGCCAGGAAAGGAACATCACGTTTGTCTGCTTAAGAAATCACTTTATGGCCTTAAGCAATCTCCGAGACAGTGGTACAAGCGTTTTAACTCTTTTATGGTGCAAATTGGCTATTCGAGAAGTGAGTATGATTGCTATGTTTATTTTAAAGTGTCAGATGATAATTCGATTATTCTTTTAATGCTTTATGTTGATGACATGCTCATTGCTGCTAAGGATATGCATAATATTGTCTCTTTAAAGTCCTTGTTGAATAATGAGTTTGAGATGAAGGATCTTGGTGCTGCTAAGAGGATCCTTGGTATGGAAATTCATAGAGATAGAAGTGCAGGTAAACTCTGGGTATCTCAAAAGAGGTATGTTGAAAAGGTGCTTGAGCGTTTCAACATGAATAAGGCTAAACCAGTGAGGACACCATTAGCTAGCCACTTCAGGTTATCTGAACAGCAATGCCCCACAAAACATGAGGAGATTGAGGAGATGACTCGAGTTCCCTATGCTAGCGCAGTTGGGAGTCTCATGTATGCTATGGTGTGTAGCAGGCCAGATTTATCTCATGCAATTAGTGTTGTTAGCAGATACATGAGTAATCCAAGGAAGGAGCATTGGAATGCAGTCAAGTAGATCTTTAGATATCTGAGCGGGATTGCAGACTTGGGTATTATGTTCAGTCGTGACGGAGGTTCGAAGGAGCTAGCGGGATATGTTGATTCAGACTTTGCTGGTGACCTAGACAGGAGGAGGTCTACTACAGGATATGTCTTCACATTAGTTGGTGGACCTATCTCATGCAGGGCGATGCTCCAGTCCACAATTGCATTGTCTACTACAGAGGCAGAGTACATGGCAGTTATAGAAGCTGCTAAGGAAGGGCTCTGGTTGACTGGGTTGGTTCGTGAGTTGGGTTTAGAGCAAGGAGGTGCGGTGTTACATTGTGACAGTCAGAGTGCCATACATCTCGCCAAGAATCAAGTGTTTCATGCAAGAACAAAGCATATAGATGTGAAGTTTCACAAAATCAGGGAGCTTGTGTCAGATGGCAGCATTCACTTGAGGAAGATTCACACGAATAGCAATCCTGCAGATTGTTTTACCAAGCCAGTCACTATTGAGAAGTTTGGGTCCTGTTTGGGCTCAATTAATATAACTCGCTGTTGAAGGTGAGGGACGCACTCAATGAGTGCGGAAGTGTACCTCTTATGGAGGTACGGGGATGAAAACATCTATATTTCATATTCTTTCACAGGTGGCTTTACAGAATCCAAGCCAAAAGGTGGAGATTGTTGAGGTTGATGTCTTGTATTCTGTTATCCAAGAGATTATGAGACGGTTCCGAAAGGCCCCCTGACGACTGGACAGCACAGGGTCCCGCTGTGGGCATAGAAGGATTTATATGGAAAAGCTAAATATTTTAGACTATATGGGCAATTTTGTAATTTGTGCCATGTAGGGTTTCGCTATATATGTTTAGGGCGAAACAGGTCTCTAAAAAGAGAGGGAGGGAGTGAAAAAGAGCGGCTGTACACTTTTCTACGTTATTAGTGAAACAGATCTCATCTCCCCGTGGACGTAGGTAGGCGGAACATCTCCCCTGCTGAACCACGTAAATTCTTGTGTTGTGTGAATTTTCATTACTTTCTTGCATCGTTGATAGGATCGAATTTAGATATTTGACAGTCTGTAGGCTTTTAATTTATTCGATGTGGTCCATGAACTATCAATAAATGTTCAACGTAGTCTTTAGATTATATTAAAATGTTTAAAAATTCATAGATCACATTGAATATTAGACCAAAGTTCATAGACTATATCGAATAAATTAAAAGTCTCTAGAAGATACTATACATTCACATAAGTTAAAAATCTAGGAATGACATTGCAGATTGGATCAAAATTCATAGACCCCATTGCAGAAGTTAAAAGTTTAGGGACGGCATTGTTCATTAGGCCAAAATTTGGTAACCATTTGTGGTCATTTTACATATAATCTAGGTTCTAGCGTCATGACGTGTCGTGGGCCTCCTCCATCCGCGTAAAAGTTACTCTCGTTTTCGTATACGAAAGCTAGGCCGCACGGAAAGTGAAGAGCTATAAATGTCTTTTCTCTTGGTACCTCTAAAAAATATGCTGGATCACAATGGCTTTTTTTAAGGAATGTTTGGTAAACTAAAGAAAATCATTGGTGACGTTGTATGCATAAACTAATCCTTTCGATTGGTCCGACATAGAACCACGGCGCCTCTCGTGCGATAATATAAAGATATAACTAGGTCACCCACCCACCAATGGGGAAGTGGTGAACGTCCATCCCGGTGCCCGACGTCGACGCTGGTGATGTGACGGGCGACGGGACAAGGGATTTGAGAACGAGATTAGACCGCACCTCGATTTATACAAAAATTGCGAGGTCGGTCCAAAGGGACAGTTGGGTTTCATGGTAAGGGAAGTACGTCAGCGCGCACATGTTAATGGTATACATGCGGACGAGAATCGGCTGGCCACCTTTCAAGATCGTCACATCGACACCTCTCCATCACGGTATAATAATCAATCATTGTTGACCCCCTTAGCATAATCGACCTTCGGCTTTTTTTTGGATATATTACGTGGTTGGCCAGGCCAACCCATCGATTTATCTTTGGGCTTGTTCCGTGGGGGAAAAGTAGAACGCATTTACTAGTGGGTGAGCAATTAGGTGAGAGTTATTTTGTGGAGATTTGTTATTGCAATTGATGAACTTTAAGGGCCAATCAAGATGCCGAGAGACACGTGGCGCGTTGCTTGCCAGTCCACGTGGATGGAGGGGGGGCCGTGTGTTTTCGTGGGGGAGTTCAACGTGGGTCGGTGCGAACGCGGACGTATAAGAAAGGGGGAGAAAAGAAAGGCCGAAGTTCAAGAGGGGACCGAAATTGTGGTTTATGTAGGATGGAGGAGGAGGGGAAAATTTTAGTGGATTTGGCTTTCTGGGGAATGAGAAGCTAGAAAGGGGTCAGCTGGCTACAGCACATTTTACGTGTAACGAGCATATGGTAAGGGCTAAAGATTTGGCGATTGTTAGTGGGGAGACTTAGGCCATAGATTTGGTCATACTGTTAGTGGGATGCCCCGCCCCGCCCCACCCACCTAATTTCACCCACATTTGATGTAGACAAGGCACGATTCCTATCCATTGGAAAAAGAGCGTGCTTTTTCGTGAGGTTGAGATTCGAAGCTCGCATGAGTGTTCCGTCCCCCAACTTCTAAACCCATGCTGCTTCTTTCTTTATAGAACGCAAAAGAAAAGGAACATACAAATTCGGGACACTTTTTCTTTTCCTTATTTTTATGTAAAATCAATAAGCAAGAATGCTGGTGGTTCTGGTCTCTGTCAATCGCGTTTCTTGCGAATGCGCGGAGATGGGGTCAAAGGAGTTCATAACGTAAGAGCATCGTCTTGTAAGCTAGAGACTCCATCGAATGAGCAGTTTATGGACCATTCCCAGAGTACTATGTAGCTTGCACCAGAGATATGCCTAGCTACATGAAGATAAACAAACAGACTGACAATGCACTATGCCTGGAGATCAGCACCGGCGTGCAATAATCTTTAAGGCGCCACCGGCTGATGATCTCCAAGGTTTTATAAATAAGTACAAAAGTGTTCACTTGATGCTTGCAAAACAAGTCGCTCCGACGAGGCCATCTTTCGACTCAAACAACAAACCTTTAACGGAATGAAGTTTTGTAATGAGATGAAGCAAAAGTTTAGATGACAAAGGATTAACATTATTCCGAAGTCAGTACTTTATATTTATGACAGACATCACAACTTCCCTCCAACCCAACAATGACCCCGCCGAAATAAAAAAGAGACGTGGAGTCAAATCGTTTTTTGTATACTGTAATGGTATATGCATGTAATGATACAAATACGGCTGTCTCTTTGCGCTTTCGTATGGTTGTAACCCTTTAAGCTCCCCCTAAAATCGTGCTCAGTGGAAAACTTGAGGAGATGCGTAATATTCGCTCTCGTTAAACACCGGTCTTAAATCTTCTCTGCACATGAAATCCAAGGGAAAAGAAACAAGATGACCCCTCACCGACTCTAATCTCAGCATGGGATCGGTCCTCTTTATATCGCCATTGTGGTAGGACTCTAACCTCTCGGGGGCAATACCTAAATCGATAGTAGTGTGCCCAATTTCCTCCTTCCAGTGGGCCGCGTTTTCTCTGATAGCGACTCTGCATGGCAATCATCACAAAACACAGTCAACTCACAAGAAAGTAAAAGATGCAAAAGGAAGATCTGATTACATATGCATTGTCATAATCAACCCAAAGGAAGGAAAGAGATGCAGAAAAACGACCGCACTAGATGTGTGCTGTACCTGGAATGTATAAGATCATTAGGTATGCAAGAGAAGACGTCTTGGTAAATTGCTGAATTTTCCTGCCAAATGTACAACAAATGATCAGCAAATGCTGGCAGTTCCCAATCGAACGACTATAATACACATTGGAACTAACTCCACAAACACCCCCCCACACACACACACACACACACACACACACACCCACACACACACACACACTCTCATGCACGCACGCACAGGTGCCGATCCATTCTAAAATTAAGAAATTAAAGCTCTTCTAGTATTTATTCAAAAGCCCCATTCATCTTTCCCATTGCACAGGAGATAAAAGACAGATTTCTTCACATGAGGAACCTAATTCTACCAAATGCAATGGAAACAACTGCAACTGCTTTCACATATTTTGAAAAACCAAAACTACTCCTCAGGTACACTGAAAATCTTTGAAATCAGGGTGAAAAGCTTCTTACCTTTGAAGTTGCCATCCATATATCTTTGTAAGTAGAATCAACCACCGGATCAATTATTTGATTCACCTGAGTAAAACAAAACAAGCTGTGGTAAAAACTCATCGCTTGTGATTTAATAAAAACGTCAGAGAATGTCTACTTTTATCCACACATATGCAGCACCCAGAAGCTAATGTTTATACCACCGTCAAGCTCAATCCAAAATTCCAATAACAGACAACCATTTTCACTGACCTCTCCTCCACGAAGACCAAGGTGTTCAGACCACAGAGAAAGACGAAGACTCCGAGAAAATTTTCCAGCCTTCCAAGGCATGCCTCCCATAGTTGAATCAACTAATTCCTTGTCTTCGATAAGCACGCCAATCTAAGTTAAAAGCAGAAGTCAAGAAGGATGAGATGAAGAAAAAACATCAAGTACATGCAGAAATACCACAGAGTACAGTAACGCTAGACTATGTAATACTGAAGCAGAGCCACAGAACCTGATGTATCAAATCTTTCACAGTTTCACCATTCCATAAGCTGATAAATCCACCCTTATATTCAGTGGCGATGTATATCCAATAGCTTACTTCTCCATTTTAAGGACAAAAAGGAGACGACCATTTTAACTTAGGATGAAGAAAAGAAGGTATGGAAAACGAAAGGAATGAAGATAACGTGGAAATGGAAATAACAGATCTAAAGCAATCAATTGAAAGCTGACACACCATTCTACCAATTTAAGATCTGCTGCAGAAGAAAAAGTTCATTAGAAGATCAGCTATCTCATTCTCATGCTTATGGGTGTTGATGACTTTCCATAAGCAAAAGACCCTACCAGTATTGCAAGCGTGAAAGACTTCAATCATCACTAAGTCACCAATAAGCAATTACATGGCTATAAAGTTCCAATAGTAACTAGTACCTCAGAATCTCTGGAACCAAGCAAACTTCTATCATTTATATTTGCTGATCCAATAAGCGACATGCAGTCGTCTATTATCATGACTTTACTATGCACATACACCTGCAATACAGGATAACAAAAACTCAGAACATAGTGCAAATGCTAGACCCAGTAAACAACAGAAATGGAAGAAGGCGAGGAAAGTAACTGAGAAAGCAAATACTGCAATATAGAGTGAATTTGCATTCGTCATGGTATCCTACCTGGCTAGATGCAATAGAGCCTCCATCAAAGAGCTTTCCATAAGCTCTGAGACCATAAAAAGAGATGTAATCATGAGCTTTAGGACCAAGTAGATCATAAAGATTGTGCAATATTGAATTGTTTCCTCTGCAAATAGTTCGATATTGCCAGTGCATTATAGCTCTAACAGATGCTGCACCACCATCATCAAGCCCACCCTGTTGGAAGTTCACAGATTTTTAAGAAAACATTCTGAAAGTTAATAATTCTAAGTTCAATGTCAAGTAATAGAGAAATAACCTGGAAACCGGGTAGGAGAGGTATAACAATTATAACTCTGAAAGATCTCTTATCATTATGAGCTTTCATAATCCGGCGGTATAGTGATTCCAAAACACGATTTCGAATAATTTCATCTCCTGAAAGACCTGATATAAAAAATTGATTCTGGCAATTTGGTTACCAGAGAATTGGGCAAGGTCAGGAGTGAACAATCACTATACGTAGAATGCAACCCAACATAAAGATATAAAACTATGGTACAAAGAAGATAAAAAGGCATATTTTGACCAAATAATCAAAATCACCATTCACCAATGAATGAGAATGAAGATGCATAGCCAACTGCATAATCGTCCATGGAAATGCAAAAGGAAACATAAATATGGCTCGTAATAAGAGAACGAAATAGAATTTCTGAAGATTTATGTTTTACTTGATGCAGGATATCAACCCCAACATACTTTCACCCAGTTGAATATGTTTTACAAAATTCTTTGTCCAGTAATCTGTTATCTCCAACAAAAACCACTCCCTCCACAAGCTTTGCCTTGAAAACTGCGAAAATTATCAGGAAATTGGAGTTTGTCTTTATACCTCGATATAAATAAAGTGTTCTGATTTCTCAATAAGAGAACAATAGGCATTGTGAATACTCTCCTCAGTCTGGCTTGTTCCAGCAGACCACTGACTGACACTCCTAAATACCTGGAAATTATAACAATGAGTTATATAGAGGAAATCACCTTGATTAGCAATAAATAATCATGTAGATTACAAGCCTTCTAAGGATTTTGAAGTATCTATGGCTAGAACAAGGATATAGACATGCGCTGACGTCGTTCAAGGCATATGACAATCTACTAGATACTCGAGCAAAACACAAATGAAACTAGGATAAGATAAAATATAATAAGTATAGCATCACATGACTGACTCCTGTTACCAACAGTTAACAGACTTCATTCACAGAAATATTGGGATGTAGTTTGTAGTAGAATAAAAAATATTAAAGCACATAGGGCAGTTTCACGTACCATAATTTGATAATAATTTAAGATTAAGCAAGGTACATTATTTTTCAAATGACTTTTCAACAATCACCAACAGAAATCCCCCAAGAATATGTTGCCTGAGAGGAACATTTAGTTCAAGATCTGTATTTGCTATATCTGACAATTGTCAGAAATATTTAATCAATCAATATACAACAAATTTCCAGAAATCTTCCTTTCAAAGGTCCAGAATTTGCAGAGAAGACTAAATTTCCAACTGAAGATGTAAACTTCAAAATGCTAAAATGAACATATCAGTCAAAGAGTACTATATATGCCAATTATATTTTGAGTAACATGGGAAAAACTGCAGTCAGGAGACATGACCACCTGACAATGACATGGAGTGCAAGGACCAACTTGCCCAGTTTCATCTGTAGGTGCCATTTGATCACCCCGCTCCTGTGTTTCCCACCATTCTGGATCCGAAGTCAACACAACTGGTGGACAGGGTTTTTTAGGAAAATCGATGTCAAGGTCATCAACAAAACCCTTCATTGGTGTATCGACCACATCTTCATATTTGGATTTACGTAACAAAAAGTGATGATTCCTGCCTACTCTGCTTGGTTGATCAATGAGACGAATATCATGATCCAGACAACTGGATTTTGGGCTCCCTTCAGGAGGAGCATCGACACTATCAGGCTCTTGAGGAAGAAGTAGTGGAATATCTTGTAAAGAAGATCTAGAGGAAAAGGAGTCCTGTCTTTTGAGGCTTTTACTGTCACTATCTTCAAAATTCTTGCTCTCATCCTCCAACTCCTTACTTTTACCCATGTAGTGTGGAATAACCATATGATGTTGAGGCATAAGTAGAGGAATTGCCTCCTCATACGGGGCTTTATTTCTCTGAAAGATTAAATATTAAGCACAATAAGTCACAGCTTCATGACTGCTAAGAAGATTTACCATTTCAAAGAAAATGAAAATCCAAATGAACCTTTGCATAGTTCCACCGTTGAACAAAGTGTCTAGCTACATCCCGGCAAGGTGGTCCCCATAGAGCACAATGGACGTCATGCCAAGGCATGCGAGGATATTTTTCACGGTCCAATTCATCTTTCATTGTGTCTTCCCACGAATTTGGCTCAGATTCCCTGATAGATCACATTTTAAAGTGCAATGCTCATCAAGTGGCAGATCAAGGAAAAACAAAGCGATAGTCCTCCATGTATCTAAACAAGTAATTGGATAGGTACAGTTTCTTATCGCCGCTAACAAAATTAAGTATTTTCCTAAAAGCCTTTTCAATCCAATTCAGCAATTATCCCTTCGACCTCCTAGTCATATAAATGACTACTCTAAGGACAAAATCAGTTTATAGACAAGGGACAATAGAATTTGACATGGTATAACAAGTAGCTAAGTAGCGTATGGAGCATTTCGTCCTTTGCCAAATCTCCACCACAAGTGTAAAATAGGATCGCTGATGTGCTGATGAAGCTTACCTTGGGTTGTAATAATCCTTTCCAGGCCAGATCAAAGGGGGATGGTCACCGACCTTGTGTTCGGAGGTGTCATAACGACCAAAACACAAATCTAGTCCACCTATGAAACAAATCTGGTTATCCACGATGACGATCTTTTCATGGTGGGACCTGAACAGTCAAATGCTGATATCAGAAATTGCCAGCCCACAAGAACAATGTCTAGAAAGCCTTAGAATCCTATTAATTGTTCCTAAAAGTCGCATACCATAGGTAGACACCACTAGAAAAGTGATCAGGATATCGAAGTACCCTCACATTCTCATGAATGCTAAGAAGCTTTCGTTTGCTGGACATGCTGTTGATTTTCAAAGCAAGGGCCACCTCTTTGTACAAAAGAATGTAAATCTGCAATCACAAAATATTTCATGACTAAGAAACCAAGACAGCTTGGTGCAGTCAAAATTGCGAGTTGACTTGTAAAATCAGTTAAAAATTATATAAGGCCATGATCTTATGTTGTGATTTTGGGCTTTGGGAAGCCCAACAGCCACTTCACACCACTGAAACTCATTGCTTCACTGACGAGCACAGTCTAAAAACTTTTTAAAAGAAAAATAAGCTGTTCTTCTTCAACGAGACATAGATACAAATCCATTAGGATTCAGAGACAGAGTCACGACTCTCTCAACGTCTCAACAACAACGATCGCTCCTTGCCAGCCACAACGTCACTTTGGAGCAACTCCAAAAGCATGATCACCTCTGACCCATATGTCTTTTTGTATCCTTTGATTTTACCGATAGAAGCAAATTTTGGATATATTCTCTACAATTTAATCTAGATCAGTGAGTGATTTAGCTTTATCAGTATACTCACAGTTAAATAACAAAAAGATATGTTTGGAAGCTAAATTTTAACTTACATTTGAAGTTTTAACCTTTTCTTTTGCCAAATGAACTTTTCAACAATTACAAATTCCTTTTGGTACAATGAATACATTCAATTTAAGTATTGTTTGCGTAACTTCAATAATGATCACTACTTATTTTACGAACCACCTTTAATCTTTTGGATTTAACAAATACTAGTTGATGTATAAAAAAGAGATTACTCTGAAGTTGTAATCGATAGTGCCAGTAATTACTTAATTTAGTAGTTTTGAGCTTTATGATCCAATATGTATTAGACTCGTGAAATGTTTGTAGCTAATTCATAAAGAGTTTGTTAAATCTTACCATTTCACGATTCGATCTTATGATTCGATTTTATGGACACCTCATCGATCCTAGGTGAAAAGGCGAGTTTGACTACCTTGATAGTCATACCTGAATATTTGGTTCTAGTACCAATTTAGTAATGTCAAATGAGCTAAAACTAATCATCCATTTGTGTGTTCATCTATAATTTTGAATCTGAACCGTCATAGAACTGTATTTTCTCCTATAAAACAATATCATTAGAACGTTCAATATAGTGACCCCAATCTGCCATCGAACAGTAAAATTTACCTGCACTCCTTGCTTAGCTTTTGCTTCCAATAATGTATCAAGTCTTGAGGAAACATTAGTATGAAAAGGGCGCCTTAAATATAGTTCTGGGCACACCCACCATCCACAGATAAAAATCTGCAACAACCCTTAGCCAATTATGATACGCATTATATGGCCATTTATCAATTTAATAGTTCTGAAAAAACTAAGAGTCAAGGTTAGCAGACACAAACCTCAGATTTCGCATTTTCAATAGAGGCAGCAATGGCTTCAAATGCTGCCTGTCCATCAATGAACCACTGAGCCTGGCTACCATCGTCATTCAAACCCCTTGGAGGAGCAAAAGAGCCAAAACGATGCGGATGGCACCAACCTTCCGGAGGCCTAAGACCAGCATCATTGATAGCAGCCACCCAATCTCTGACTTTAGCATTGCTCTTGACTCTTAATCTGATGTTCCGGGTTCCACAAGTCACCTTTCATATTACGCATTTGTTAGTTCGACTATAAAACTGTTGCCTATTAATTCCATTGAGTGCAACATGTTATTCGATTTTAGCCATGATTAACAGCAAATGTGTTATAACTCCTCAATCATCTGAGACATATACCCTTCGCCTGTAACATCCTGCAACCGATGTGAGTCAGAGTAAGTGTTCCCCTTCCTCTCTAACAATCACTAAAGATTGTTCATTTAGGTTTTACTATATTGACCTCTATTTAAGATGTTTCTCAACCACTCAATAACCACAAACAACATCACGTAGAAAACTTCCACCAATTCTTTTGAGTCGTATTTTTCTGTTTATGAGCCAAATAAATTTTAGATTTCTTATTAATAAAATGACTTTATTTCCTCTGTGAATGATACAGAGTTCAATTACAAACCTATGACATAAAGTTAGCATAATGATCCCATAGCAGAGCCGCATTGTGGCAATAATAGAGAAGTTGTAAGTACATTTAAACTCTCCCATAATGATATTGACAGGTCAAAAGCACTAGAAAGTGCCATGTCAATTAATTCTTTTAAGCCCCCCACCCCCAAACACACATGCAGAGCGAACTGTGCATGCTGCATGCTTTCTTACCCTGAATGCATGGCGGAGTGGATTATTTTCCTTCACTTCTTTAGCTAACGCCACTCTCCCTTCTCCATTTCCATCTGATGCTGGTAATACGTCAAAAACAATTATATCCAAAGGTTTTGTATCAAAGGGATCCCCCAGCAAGGCTAAGAATCCAGGTTTTAGCACAGCCCACATCTGCAATGTACAGTGTTCTCAAGAGTTGGTCGCGAAAATATATCTGAAAGTGTCCATAGAAATCAACTAAACAAAACTTCTGTTCCAGTCAGAAAGTTTGAATGCTCAAAGAGTATCGGGTATATACAGAGAAAAAGGAGAAAGAAAAAAAGAAAACGAATGATGACAATGAATATCATGATGAAAACAAGAAAAATAACTATGGTAAAAATAGCTACACTGTTTAAAACTGATGAATGCCAAAATCTGGTAGGAAAATCATCAATCTGTATGTCAGCCAATCTATAATGAACAAATAATACTTTACCTTGCAAAGAAGAAAACAAGTAATTATCTCTGGAGTGACTTTCATAAGGGGAAAAAATACACGTGCATAAACACATGCTTTGATGCGCATGAGACGGAAAGCCGCTCAATGCACAAGTTAGCAAAGTACTTCAACAAGATTTCAAGTAAGATCTACATCAACACCTACTGCCACTAATATTAGCCTCAACTGCATGGATGCATTATATTACCTTTTGCCAGTTATTATTACAGCAACTGAACCAACCACATGCACAGCATTTTCTGGAATCATCACTTTTCGAAATCTTTGGCAGATGCTTCACCATTACATACTCCTCCTTCAGTTTAGGGCCATACTCCGGGCAGAAAGATAACTTAGAAACCTCCAGAAACTTGCATACCTATGATGTAGCTTGCCAAGCATGAAAGAACTGATATTAGGATAACCGGGACAATAACAGTACTGCTACAAGCTCCCCATATTCAAATGCAAAGAAGCCTCGACCATTTGCCTCTCTCAGAAACATGTGAGAACTACAAAGTTTCTAGATGGTAAAACATTTCATTGAGAAGCATGTCTATGCCTTAGTCAAGAAACTCAAAAACGCAGATTTTTTGCATTAAGTGGTTACCAAGGAGGACCTTTGACTATTATTTCCACAACTAGTGATGTTGAAATTATACTTGCTTTCAGTGGTCGTACCAAGGTGTTCACATGCAGTGCCGTAATATTGTTAAACACAAAAACTTCCTTAAGGTTACAAGTAGATTGACATTATCCAGCCGGACTTCATCATAGAAACAACTCTCACAGACAAAGACATGACCGCATCAGCTAGCTACAACTAGGCACAAAACTATTAAACAGTCCAGACATGAAAGTAAAACTTTCAGAAACCAATGCACATCCAAATTCAGGGAAAATAACAACCATATAGTTGAGCATAATTACCGCGGTATACCTCTCGAGAATTGACAAGATCCATGTTTCCAAGAAAGTGATTCAAGTACTCTTGCATTGCAATCTTTGCTCTGTCTGATATAGATTGCTGCCTTCCTAAAGCAGGCCGAATGACAGGAAGAGCAGCTCTTGAGGGAACATCTCTGAACAAAAAACCCACCTGTAAGAATTATTAATATTATGGATGCTTCGAATCATAAAATCCAAATTAATGCGCCATAGAGTGCCGTGGATTACCTATTTTTAAAACTTTCATCATGAAGAAATGGAACCGCATCGTCATCAACTTCATCTTCATCTTGCACAACAGTTGTGTGATCTCCAATTCCTAGATTTTGAAGCCATTCTTTAACCTTAATATTCCAAAAAGGAGTACATCAAAAGCCCACATTTCTGAAACGTTAGCCTTAAATAACTAAGGTAATAGAGCATAAACAAGCTAAAAGGGTATTGAACAACTGTATACTTAGATAATTAGAACATTACAATCCAGCACACACCTGCTCCTGTTTCTCATGAATTTCCTCGATGAAGGCACGTTTCTTCAACGCAAAGTGCAAAATGAAGACTTGGGATGCTTTCTTCAATAAACGCCATTTGAACTAGAGCATTCACGACAAAGAGAGAGAAATTCACCAACCAAGCTTTTAAAGCAGAGTGTGAGATAACAAAAGGTTGGCAAATTATGATCGTGATGAGTTAAAACATCAAAACTTTTATCCGCAATTACAGAAAAATAAATCTCAAAAGGAACAACGAGCTTGCCATATAATTAGTTCTGATCAAGGATCTACCTTTTCAGACTGACATTTGAAGCAAAAGACTCAAAGAACAGGAATTTGAACTACTTGACTCACCACTTTCAGATTTTGGTCAACAAAGAATACAGATTTTACATTTATCGAAGCACCAAGATGACAGAGAATTATGGAGCATCGTATTGATTCATCTCAAGCTGCCCATTCGCAAAACAAACTACACTACACCGCCCCCACTACCTCCGAAACCAAAAGCATAAGAAAAGAAACACAGCCGTGCAAACTAAACATAATGGAAGCATCAATCAACACAGTAAAACATCACAGAGTATCACATTCACTGGTGTAAAAGAGACGCTCATCAGTAAGAGCAAAGCCAATTACACAATTGCTCAAATGCTCATCCATAACCAACGATTCGTCAACATCTCAAAAAGTATCGCCGCAGCAAAGTCAACTGAACAAGCCCCGCCAAACAAAAGCCGAAATACTTCTAACAGCTCGAGACGATCGCCGCACGGACCAGAAGGCACAATCCCAAGCCCGCACCCCCGCGCCAAAGATAGAAACCGTTACCTGCTTGTACTGAAACTCGATCGTGTAAGACAGAAGCATCGGGCTGATATCGCCGGCGTCGGGCCTCGAGACGGACACGATCGCCGCCTTCGGGAGCTCGTCGAAGATCCGGGCCACCTCCGCGGAGCCCTGGCGGAACGACGGGAAGGACGACGCCGTCGCCTGGGACGGCTCCGACTCCATCTGGAAGTACCGGTGCCCGCCGGTCCCCATCAGCTGCTCCGACGCCATCGGAGCTCCGGGAGAAAAAAACAATCCTCCCCCCGATCGAGGAACGCGACGGCTCCTTCCTTCCTTCCTTCCGGCGCCGATCGATGGGGCGCGCTCCGAGGTTTCCAAGTTCCGAACGGGATCTCTCCGGCGAGCGTCGAGAATCTCGGGCGGCGATCGCGAAGGACGGAATGCGGTTTTCGATCGGAATTCTGGATCTCTAGAGAGAGAGAGAGAGAGAGAGAGAGAGAGAGAGTTTGGGTTGATTTCGCTGTACACAACTGCAACACGAAAACTGAAAATAGCGACGATACGAAAATCTGGAAAATTTCTCCTTCTTCTTCTTTTTTTAATTCTTATTAATTTAATCGAATTTCCGAGTAGATGGCCGGGGTGCGGTCTTCTAGAATCGGAGCATGCCTTCCTCCTTAATCAATGAATTAAATTAAGTTAATTATATGGTTAATTGGTATTTTTTTTTTTTTTTTGGGGGAGGTGGGAAGGCATGCAAGGATTTGACTAATCGTTATGAACAACCTAATAACGTGAAAAGTTAGGTGGAACCATATCGATGATTTGGCTTGTTTATATGGAAATGTTTCTGTAGTCGTTACTTTCTGTGTGGTTCGTCGTAGTAGAGTGGTGATCGTAATGGGATACCGATGTTAACTTTGTTCATGAGAAATAAATTTATTTTGTCGACACCGAAGCGAGAACAAAGTTCAATCTAAAAACATAAGCCATCAGTGAGCAAGACGATCGACGAATTACGAGCTTGTCGATTAAAAGGGATTGGCAGCATATGGTGCGAAATTTATCAACGAAAGCCTTTGCCTAAATTTAAGAGAAAATGATCGGTAAAGTCATCGAGAGCAAATGATCCCAGATTCTGATTAAGTGTTGAGATAGTACAATTAATGAATTGAACAGAAGTTCGGGGAGTTGGTAACGTTGAAATGGCAACGAAGATATATCACGCTGGTTTGGAAAAATTGGGTTTTCGTTGATTTTATTGTTAATCTTTTAAAGTGAAGGCACACCCGTGATGATGAACATCTAAGATTAACAATGATCGGTGACCGTATATTGTACATCTACGTTTAGTTGTCTAGATTTTTAGTTAGAATACGACTGGATAGAATGAGATATGAAATGAGGAGATTTTTTTTATATCTTATCCACTCTTTGATGAATCACAGTAATAAAACTAGATACTTTCGCATCCTATCACGTATATTGTTTGGTATGAATGATATATCGATGTAAATGAACTTGAAAATGCACGAACGAATAAGAATCTCACTACTAAAGAAACAACAAATACACAAACGAAGATAACCTCCATCAATTAATCCATCATTATTGTACCATCTAAGTCTTAAACAACAGAAGAGCTCATTGCAATATTCTAGAATGATAGGTTCATCTATGACAATAAATGTAAACGAGTTCTAGCAACATAGCTAGATCAGTCAACAAATGCTATATCTAGTAAGAGAAAGAAAAAATGATCATGTACCTTCACAATTCCCAAAAAGGTATAGAGTACTTCAACTTTCTTGCCATTTTGGTCAAGTTTCAACATGAACCACAGAGTTACAAAGGAGAAGGAACTTCGACAATCTTATTGTTTTCGTAGACTTTTGACCTGAACCATAGAGGTAAAATGAGTTTTAACTCTTTTGCAGTTTTTTGTGAAAATTTAACAATGATCTAGAGATACAGGCAAGGAGGAAACAAAGAGGGTAGAGATTTTTTTTTAGAATTCTTATTGGCCCTCATTCTTCAAGAATAAGAGAAAATCATTTTCAAATTTGAATTTGTTCGTGTAAAATCTAGGTTCTTCTACTTCATTTTTATTTCCTATTTTTTATATTTTTATTTCTTTTTTTATTTATTCCCTTCCATCATTCCTCAATAAAAATTTAGTAAACAATAAATTATACTTATATATAAAACATGTAGAAAATATAAATGCTAAATACATATATAGAAGATATATTATATACTAGAAAGAAATTCAAAATAAAAATAAAAATAGGAATAAATAAAAACGAAAATTGTTATTATTTTTTGTCACATTGAATTTTCTTTATTTATATGAGAATACAAACATTATTAATATTTAATTATTATTTTAATCTCATTAATTGAAAAAATTTGTTATTCGAGAAAAATAGCTTTTATACCATAGATAAAATAAATCTTATCTACTTTTATCCTACCTCGTTCATGAGATATTTTTATTCAAATTATACCATTTTTATATTCGATTTTATCCTATTTTGGGTAGGAGTGTAATAATGGGCTTAAATAACCCATTATTTTGTTTAGAACCCAGCCCATTAATTGACCCTTTATCTTCAATGCAAGGGTTAAAGAAGCAGACCCTCCATGGCCGAAAACAAGAGGGAAAGAAGAAGACGCACGCAGAGAAGAAGTAAAGGGGGCGGAGGGAAAATCTTTGTGCATTTACGTTCCGGACGACTTGACAAGACGAATCAACACTGTTTTGCAATGCCGGGTAAGTAATCGAGGCCTCTATTCATCTAATCATAATGATTTCGGAAATTAGGGCACAAATTTGAAGGAATATTGATTTTGAATTACAAGGCTCTATTGAGGAGTTATTAAGATACGATTTTGTGTGGAATGATTGTTTATGGTGTTGTTGAGCGGTGGGGTTTGTCGAGTAACTATTTCAAAGTATGGTTTGTCCGGGATGAATTTCAGAGGTTTCGTGTTTGAGTTACGCGTATCGGATAATACGCGTAATGGAGAAAAGTGAACGTCTACTATAACCGATTTTATTCATTAGCATTAGGAGTTGTTTTATCGACAAGTAAGTGTAGTTCAGTCAAGCAGTTAGTTAAAAGTAGATTTTACTTGATTTTTAATACCGTGTTTCGGTTAATTGTTAGGAATTCGAGTGCGTCGGCTCTAGTAACTACATAGGTTGGTTTTCGGCTTTTTTCAGGTGAGTGGTACTATTTCTTTTATGAATTTACAAGCTCATGTTTTGAAAATGGTAATATTATAATATAGTAAGAGTTATTAAGAGCATGTTTTCAGTATAAATGGGATCGAACTTTTACCATCTTTTAGTCTATTGACAATATATTGGAAAGTCTTACAAAGTAGCTTGAAATGAGTATTTGTGAATGTTTTGCTTAAATGTTTTGTGAAAGGAATTACCAAAAGCTATTTGTATTGGATGCGAAATGTTTTATGAAATGGATTCTATTTGATGATAGAAAATGATTATGTGATTCGGTGTGTGAAACCGGTTTATGAAATGACTTTCTGATGTTAATTGTGAGTTGTCGGAGAAAGATTTTGGTTGTTATGGCTCATATCGCTATGATGAGAACCCATTGAGAGGGAGTATGCATACTGTTAAGACGTCCTTCCGGGCTGAGCCGCCAACTGATATAGGTGGTAGACCTAGCCAAGGGGGATAACCTTGGCCGCCTTTGTTATGACGTTAAACATGACCATAGTTTGATAGTGAGCATTAGATTCGTCGATGGAATGGACCATCGACATGTGATTTGATGAGATTAGTCAATGGATAGACCATTGATGGTTGTTGTTGTCGAGTAGATTTTATTGACTAATCTTGTACATTATAAAGTTTTGTTGAAAAGCTATCATATATTTTTTATATTTTACGTATACCGTATATTGAATTTGTAACGAGGAGTTATGATGTCATTTTATAGCGTTGCGTGTGATTGTTTGATCCACTTAGAAGAAATATATTACTTAGTGAGCTGTGATAACTCACTTCTTTCATCTTACTTGCTTTTCGGGTTCTTCAGCAAGTCGCAAGTAGGGCGTGAGCGTATCGTTCTCAGGAGGACTTTTGGTGGTGGGGATTTTTAATATGAGATGTATATAGCTAATGAGCTTCTAAGTTAGTTGTGGTGGATATGTATATATCTTTTTGATGGATTATATTGAACTCTGATACCGTAACTAGATGAACTTTTTATCACATATATATGGATGTATATATTTGATATTAGGTTGAGTTTTGGTTTTGTTGAGGTTGCGTCCTTACGTGTTAAGACGGCCGTGTTATGCCTTTGCTCTTTTGAGTTGGGAGTGTGACATTTGTTGGTATCAGAGCTTAGGTTTTGATCTTTTGAGTATAGATATGGATGGGAAGTTGTGAGATTGAATGATAGTTTTAGCACGTTGATCTTTTAGGAACTAAGGTTATGTTTCGCCTTGGATCCAGGTTATCATGCGTTCTAACACGGAGACACTTGCCTCAATTCGTAAGAATAGCAAAGGCAAGCGAGTCATTACCCTTGACACTAGTGATATGCCTCAAGTAAGACACGGCTTTGACAAAAAGACGAGATGATGCAAACTCGGACTCACAGGAGACAAGAGATGAGCGTCAGAAACCAGTGGCTGATATATTTGAAGCTTGCCAAGTAGTTCTTGATTTTCATCGTCAGCTAAAAGAAACTGGTACACCTGGAGTTCTTGAATCTGGGAATGACGTAGGTTGTACCTTAGCCCAATTTAGGAAGTCGAAGCCACCCGTTTTCAATGGGAAAGCTGATCCGCTCGCTGCTAAACGTTAGATTAGGAAAATTGAGGGAATCTTCAGAGCTGAAGGAGTCCCCGAGGATTGAAAGATTGATTTTGCCACCCAATGTTTGGAGAGTGAAGCTGAGTATTGGTGGGAAGGAATGAGGCCAACTCTTAGAGGCAGGGATGTTATTATATCTTGGAAGGATTTTGTGGAGGCTTTTAACACTCAATTCTTTCAAGAATCATTCCAAGCGAAGATGAGGGGCGACTTCGTATATATATATATATATATATCTCATGGTGACTCTACCGTTTTGGAGTATGCAGCACGCTTCAACCAGTTGAGTAGATTTGCGGAGCATTTTGTGGCCAGTGAGAAGGATAAAGCTGAACATTTCTAGAGAGGACTTCGGCCCAAGATCTATTTCACACTCGTACCTCTTCTATTAACAACTTACAAAGACGTGCCGGAACGAGCGATCAGGGTTGAACAAGACACGTTGGAGCACAGGACACAAGGTGGTCATCAACAAAAGAAGCCGAAGTTCACGGAATTCCAAGAAAGCTATACTAGTGGTAGCAACAAGCAAAGAAGCATTAGCCGCCCTAGAAAGGATAAAAGTCAAACTATTCAAGGTCCTTGCACTACATGTGGAAAACAACACAGTGGTCAATGTTATTGGAAGACGAGAGTTTGCTTTCTATGTGGAAAGATGGGACACATGCGACAGAATTGTCCTATGCA